CTGCACAGTGGAAAGAGGAAATAGAAGTTTCCCTGGAGGATTAGGCAGGGAGCTGGGGTGGGAGTCAGCTGGGGGTGTCTTGGGTTTGTCTGTGACACTCAATTCCTTTGCTAGGACAGCAGCAGTCCACCCTGTTGACCCTTGCCACAAAAAAACAAAACAAAGAACAACCAAGAAATTTGCCGATTTGACAGTATCTCACTCATCACGGGACCAAAGTGGTAGAAAGGGATACGTGTGGTTCCCTGCTATTTCCTGAGGCTCCTCCAGGCTCTCTCAGGATGGGCCCTCACCTTCCCTTAGCGGCAGACAGGGGTTCCCTCTAACCCAGACTTCCTCTACTAAGTTCAGAAGCTAGAACGCCACCCTCAGCTCTCCACCCTTCCTGAGCATCCCCAGGGCAGGCATCAGAAATTTGGGATTCTCATCCCAGGGTCTCAAGAGGCCTGGCTTTCCCAGGCTGGGCTCTGCTCTGAGCATCTAGGGGTCTGGCTTCCTCTCTCCTGCTCCTGGCTTTGACCCTGCCCCAAGCTTCCTCAGCGTGGCCCCACTCCTGACACACACCTCTCATCCCCAGTATCTCCTCTGGGGACCCTCCAGAGCCACAGCCTTAACTCCTCTCTCCTCACCCCCACAGACTGGCTATGTGATCTTAAGCAAATTACTTCACCTCTCTGTGTCCAGATTCCTAGTGTGTGACACTAGGGTAAACAGAACTGTGATTTATGAGGTTACTTATACGGAAGAAATGAGTTAATAGCTTGTAAAGAATTTACAATGTTGGGGCAAACATACAATGAACAGAAGCAGATACGGCTGTTCCCAACTTATCCACCACAAATGAGGGAGTTAGTTTTTGTGACTGCTGTTTTTCTTCTGTTTACCATGTTGGGTCTCCCCTCTGCACCAGTCCCTGGCTAGTTCTTAGAATGCTGAAGGGTGATAGTCAAGTACTTGGGAATTCCCCTGGGCTATTCCATCTGAAGCACCTAAAACTGCTGATGTGGAGTGGGTTTTGACCTCTAAGAAGGATAAAAGGACAACTTCTCAGAGCGGTGGTGGCACACGACTTTACTTGGGAGGCAGAGACAGACAAATCTCTGAGTACGAGGCCAGCCTGGTCTACAGAGTGAGTTCCAAACAGCCAGGGCTACACAGAGAAACCCTGTCTCAAAAACTAATAAATAAATAAATACCAATAAATAAATGTGACAATTTCATAGGATTCAACCTAATCTGGCATCTAATTAAGTTTTTTTTTTTTCCATTCACTTACTCTGTCCCAAGAACATCCCCATCCTAGGTGGACAGATGAGAGATCAAGCCTAAGGAAGTGATTTGGTTTTGAAGGAAAATGCTAATGTCCAGGAATCAGTTTCCAAAACAAAGCTCAACCCCAGGCTGTGTAAATAATTTACAACAGTAGTCAGATTGTATCAAGGTAATTACCGTGCTTTTGGGAGGCCAGCGGGGCTGGGGACTGGGTGGCAGCAGTTCTGTGGCTGTGGTTAAGCAACCGTTCTCTTCCTCCTTCACCCTGCTGTGTCAACAGCGCCTCTGAAGGACGAGTTGACCCTCAGGCAGCTGGGCAGTGAGAGGTCTAAGCTCTCCTTCCCTTTTTCAAGGAAACAGCAATACCACTTCCCAAAAAGCTCTTCAAAACTCAGTCTCTTGGGCTGGGCAGGAGCTCTGTTGGGGGAGTGAATGCCTAGCATGAAGCCCCAGGTTCAGTCTCCTGTCATCCTAGGACTTGGCAGGCAAAGGCAGGAGAATCAGTTCAAAGTCTTCCTCATCTGCATAGCAGACTCAAACAGGCCAACCTGAGACACATGAGACCCTGTCTCAAAACACAAATGAACAAACAAAAACCTGCTTTTATTCTGCCTTCCTAGATTGGTATTTGTGTGGTTAGAATTTTCTTCCATGTTAAGTGCCTCAGGTTGAACTGTGCGTCCAATAAGGTGACCACCAGCCACAGGTGACATCTGAACACACTTCAAATTATGACTAAGGTGATGAAAAAGCTGGACTTTTAACTTAAATTCATTTTAAAAAGTCAACTTAAAGAGGCAAGCCAATCTCTGTGAGTTAAAGGCCAGTCTGGTCTACAGAGCAAGTTCCAGGACAGCCAGGGCTACACAGAGAAAGCCTGTCTCAAAAAACAAACAACAACAACAACAAAAAAATAAAAAGATAAGGGGGAAGCCGGGTGGTGGCGCACGCCTTTAATCCCAACACTCGGGAGGCAGAGGCAGGTGGATCTCTGTGAGTTCGAAGCCAGCCTGGGATTAAAGGCGTGCGCCACCACTGCCTGGCTATCTCATTTAAATTTAGTGTGTCTTGAAAATGTTTAACATTACTGATAATTTATAAATCAAATTTGTCTAAGAAGAATATCTGCGACAAAAACACACAGGTTCCCAGACTTCACTTACTTTTGTGTGTGACTGTGGGGGATGTTGTTTGTGGCGGTTCTTCCACTATGGGGGGACTGGGGACAGAACTCAGATGCCGCTGGGATCTTTCCAGACTTTAACAACAGACAACCAAACACACCCTACCTGTAGTCCACCCAGGATGGGCAGATGTGGGAGCTGAGCAAAGTGCTGGAGAGTCACTGGGAATCAAGTTACTAGACAAACAGGGCATCTTGCAATAACAAGGTTTTGGTAAATGATCTCCCTCGGGAGCTAGCCTGCTCCTGTTTCCCCTTTCACCTAAGCTGTGCTGAGCAGGGAGGGACAAACCGGGAGGGGGAGGGACAAGAAATGACCACTGCTGTGGGCGTGGGAGCAGCCTGACCTTCAAAGCTGAAGCTGTTCGTTCCTAGTGACTGCTCTCCTAGTACTTTGGACCTGTTTACATTCACAGCAGGTAAAATCTGGCTAGGTAATACATTCCATCGACTCCCTCAGCACTTCTGTTGCTTAAAAAAAAAGCCTCTCTTCATTACAACATACTATGATATACAGATATATATAAAGAGAGGTATCTATACAGATCTGTGTATGTATATTTGTATAGATTATCTCTTTATATATGTACATATCTATATATCTATATGTATATGTAATATTGTGGTATTAAGGGTCAAACCTAGGGCCTCACATGTACCAGGCAAGCACACTACCATTAAGCTACAGCCATGCCCAGTATTTATTAATGAAAACTGTCTTGATATATTGGAATATATGATCACTGCATATTCATGTGTGTTATTTTTCTTTGGAAATTTTTTTTAAAATTTGCTTAAACATTCATAATGTCCTATTCCTGCTATTAAATTTTGGGGGGTGGGGGATCGAGTCAGGGTTTCTCTGTGTAACAGTCATGGCTGTCCTGGAACTCGCTTTGTAGACCAGGCTGGCCTGGAACTCACAGAGATCCAGGGATTAAAGGCATGGACCACCACGCCTGGTTTAGACATTTAAGTCTTTAAATTTTTTTTTTTAATTGTGTGTGTGTGTGTGTGTTTTCACATGAATGGAGGTCCAAGAACAACATACAAGATTTAGTTCTTTCCATCATGTGAGTTCTGGGGATCAAATCCAGGTAGTCAGGCCTGGAGGAAAGTGCCCTTACTTGTAAAGACACTCAATGGCCAAGTTTTTTAATTTTTTTAATTTAATTATTTTATGGGTGGGGGTGTGAATGCAAGCACACACTTGGCCATGTCACACCTGTGGAAATCCCTGGCTGAGGCAGGATCTCTCTGTCGACACACACGCCCATCCTCAGAGCTTCAGGGTGACTGTCCCATCTGTGTCCCATCTGGATGTAGCAGTGCTGGGATCAGAGATGTGGGACACCACGTCCAGCTTTCTTATTTGGGTTCTGGACCTGAACGTGGGTCTTCAGATTTGCACGGCACCTTTCCTGGGCCATCTCCCTGGCCCACTATTAAGATTTTTTTTTTCCTTTTTTGTTTTTAGTGTTTAGAACTGAGTCTTCATATTGGGCTATGCTGACTGTTGCTGGTTTTGAGATTTCCTTTTGGTTGTTGTTATTGTTATATTATTATTATTATTTTGGTTGTGCTAAGAATTGAACCAAAGGCCCCAAGCATGCTACACTCAGCTATTAACTCTCTGAACTTCTGAGACAGGATCTCACTAGGTTGACTGCACTCACTTCAAACTCACAGTCCTCCTGCCTCAGCCTCTGGAGTGCCAAGATTACAGGTGTGTGCCATTGTACCTGGCTGAATGCTCCTTGAAGAGTTATTTCCTTGAGCCTTGAAGCTGGTAGCTCTGCCTTCACCATGAGTAGGAGCCATGCTCTCAAAGAAGTGTGGCAAGTCGTAGATTAGCATGCTCAGGGCAGGGCTGCAACAGCCATGACAATACCCTGTGAGCTCTCCCTGACAAGGTTAGTTTATTTGTGTATTTATAAATAAAGTTGCGAAGGGACAGAGAGGGTTTCTGTATCTTTTCTAGAGCTCCCCGTTAGTGAGGTCTTTTATACAAAACTGGCAACCTACAAAATCCAGTCTATGTACAGACTAGATTTTATCAGCATTGCCACGTTTGTGGTCCCAGGATGCTATCCAGGAGTCCATGTTTTTCTTAATTGTTGTGTTCCCCTACGTTCTGAATTGTTCTGCTTTCTTGAGGTGCCAGGGAGTTTCATTTTCTTGGGTTTCAAAAAACCACCCCTAGTTTGCCCTATTCTCCTTTCAAGGTGGAAGGAACTTTGCTCTTCTCATTTGCATTTTTAAACCATAGTGTCCTATTCTTTTCGATCTGCCTGCATCTGCTTAGAGGATGCAGCAGCTGGGCCAGTGGGCAGCAGGAAGTGGACGTGGCACCTCTGATGAGAGTGGGGACACAATTCTGCCAGCTGCACTGAGTGGAATGCTTTTGATGGAAGTCCCTGGAAACCCACACTAGGTGTTCTCAGCAGGCACTCAAAATCAAGGAACAAAAGGTCACCTCAGCTCAGGCAACCGCATTTGACAAACCACAAAACAACTGTGTTGCAAAGGAATAAACCAGAAAGGATCACTTCGACACCAATTCGTAGCATTTATTGACATTTCCATTTAAAATGCTAGGAAAGCTGTAAAAATTGTAAACATGGGAACCAAACACTGCATAAATTATCTCCAAACTCTACAGCACATTAGAAAACAGTGCAGCTAATTGAAGGGTAGAAACGTAACTGACAAATAGAAGGGCGGGCTCAATCGCTAAATCACACACCCACACTGAGATTTAAGTGCCCGTTTGAGATCAGCACACCATGATTGTCAAGTTGCAGTCTTGATGCCACAGGTGGCCCAATCCGCTCTGCAGTTTTGTATATTAACACGCATCATCTAGCATGAGGGTGCAAAGTCAGAACACGGACCTCAACCAAGCTGGAGACAAGTCGGTCCCGCAGCGGCCGGGCAGAGCAAGATTCCCTGCTGATGCTAGTTCTGCGGAGAAGAGCAAAACCCGGAGCCTTTCTATAACCGTTTCTGAACCAACTCCCTGATGCTCAGAACAACTAAATTAAGGACCAGACACCTTGGTTGCTCTGGCACCTCCTGCTTCTTTCTCTACTGCAGCGGCAGAGCAGGGTGTCTGGCTTTAACTTAGCACTATATGTCTCCCAAACTGTGTCTTTGGGAGTCAAGTCATGAGTCCTTGGTATCTGGTGGGCACGAGAAAAGACATCAGCAATGCTCCAAACACATCACTGAAGTGGCCCTGAAACAGAGAAACCCGTAGGAAGGAGGCAAAGCAGGGAGCCTGGATTGACCTGCCCTGTAGGACACCGGGGAGGAGCATCTCGGATGTAGACATTCACTGTTCCTCTTGCGTCCTGGCTGGTTCCTAACTGATTCGTGTTCCCAAAGGCATTTACTATTCCTTTTCTACACTTCAATGCTGCTGTGTGTTCTTAAGATAATTGTCGGGTGTCCTGTTACACACACAGGCATGAATTAACACTGTACCACGACGGTTCAGTTTTCAAGTCTTTTTTAGCATGGACAAAAGAATTCTAGTTTAATCCCCACAATCACCACCCCCCTCCAGACCCCTCCCCCTCAAAATAAACCACCTGAAATGTGCACTCTTGTTTACTAGGTGACGAGTGTAAGCCTATATATCTCATGAGAATGTTACAACAGAGGCCCATAGAAACCCTCTCACCTGTTCCAGGAATGTCTGTAATGGGCTGGTCTAAATGGTGGAGCTCAATGGACTGTCCCATACAGACGTGTTTGTGCTCACGGGCGTAGAAGCGGACTTCCTCGTACTCCTGCTTGGACCAGACGTGGACAAGCAGGCTCTGATGGTGAGCTCTGGAGCCTTCACTTTGGAGGTAGAAATGACATGGCGAAAACTCCACTAGCAGTGAGCTTGATAAATAGAGGAGCACCCTGCCCTGTGCCCAGAACCTTGACTGACACCCTTCCAAGTGTCTAATTCCTAAGGATCCAGGATGGAGGGGCCAAGGGAGGCCTAAGGAATGATTAACTCGTGAAATTCTGCCTAAACAGACTAGTGTCTGGGGACTGGCTGGGTTCCTGGCGCACTCACAGAGACCTGGAACTGCAGGGGACACTGTACACAAGAAGGCAGGAATTACTGGTTTCAGCCTGAGGCCTTCCAGGCTTACCAGCACCTGTGCTTTGGGTCACAGGCCTCATGCCTTCAAAAATTCTGCTTGGCAAAAGTCCTACTGCTTAAAAGTCATCTATGCCATCAAATCAGCACACACTCTGAAAGGAAACAAAAATGGGAGGAAAACATGGAGGTGAAAGAAGCTGGATGTACTTCTCCACAACCTGCTAAAGACCACAGAGGACCATCAAGATCTGCTAGAAGCTAAGGCCTGCGGGGCCAGTCTCTCGCCACTGACTTAGTTGAGACCAGACATCAGCAGTTCGTGGTACTCTGGCCTCCCTTCTGCGACACTGGGGCTCTTCCTAGGCAGGTCCTCACTAGCCTGCTCGCTTGCTTGCTGTGTTTCTGGACAGGTTTCCCCCCAACACTATTTCCTCCTCTTCGGAAACTTCCTGAACAGTGCAGTTAAGGATTGAGTGCTCACACTACCACAGCTCCAGATCAAGTTCACTTTCAGTGACAGAGTACCCCACTCCTAAACCCTGATCCCCTGCCGTACCATCACCGGCCGGAGTCACATCAAAGTGGTTCTGCAGCTGGCTTCTCCACTAAGATCTCATCAATGCCAAACATGCAACTTCTATGACTTCCGAATATCCAGCACAACTGTGCCCTTTGCATCTTATGGATATCTAAGCCATGCTGCTTATCTAGTGTCCATCTTTTATACCTGTCTGTACTATCCAGCTGAGATTCTAAGATCTCTTGGAAGACAGGGCTCATGTCTGCTGACCTATCTAGTGTCAGAAACTGCAGAAAGTTAGGAGCAAAAAAAAAAAAAAAAAGGAGACCTTTGAAGCTAACGAAGTGTTACGTTCGAAGCAGACCAGCAGGAAGAGGGGTCACACTGGGCTTTCAGCTTTGGTCTGACTGCCTACATGATGTGTACCCAGACGCTGGCAGATCACAGCATATCACATCATCTGTGCCAGAACATTGACACAGACAACATCTTACACATTCACAGTGACTGAGGCTCCATCCTCAAGGGATGTCTGCAAGCAAGATCACCTGATCCTTAGAAGCAGAGAGCCTATGAGGTGTGTGGGTGTGTGCATGGGTGTGTGCGTGTGTGCGTGTGCGTGTGTGTATGGGGAGGGGGACATGGTCTTGCTGATAACAAGAATGACATTCCAAAGGAACCAGACACAAGGAATGAGCAACAAAGGAGACAACAAAAAAAGCACTTCTCCAAGCACGCTGTCCTAAAACGCAGACTCGAACTTGCAGTTTGTGTTTCTCAACAGAACTTGTATAATTAGGAGAAAAGGACAGACATTAAAAACTTAACTTTTATTTTGGGGTGCTTTAATATGTGGGACACCAAAGTTACACACGTTGAACAGGACAGCCTTTTTCGGGGGAGCACACTGGCTGATTGGCTGGACGCCTGCTGGGCGTGGCATATCCCACAGCAGTTTAAGTGGGATAAAGCTGCTGTGTTTAGGGAAAAGGAGTGCAAACTGAGTGTGCTTTAAATAACCAACAACCAAGCGCGCTGGAGCTCCCAAAGGGTCTGCGTGCCAAACTACACCCCACCTTTGGCTGTAACACCTGTTTAAAGGTGTATCTGTTCTAGGAATAAAAATACAGGTAGAATCCCTTTATCATACTTCCTTTTTTTTGTTTTTTTGTTTTTCGAGACAGGGTTTCTCTGTGTAGCTTTGGAGCCTGTCCTGGAACTCACTCTGTAGACCAGGCTGGCCTCGAACTCACAGAGATCCGCCTGCCTCTGCCTACTGAGTGCTGGGATTAAAGGCGTGTGCCACCACTGCCCGGGTGTTACCATGTTCTTAAAACTTGCCTAGACACACAGGTTTTGATTAGGCTGAGCTCCCCAAACTCTACCCCATTATCTGTTGTTCAATAAAAAGTACTCATTCATCTGATGAAGAGGCTCCTGGTGGGACTCCCCTGTTAGTCTGCAATGTCCCACAGTCTCATTCAGGCACCAGAATACAGAATGTCATTGACTATAATGTCAGAAGCTGAGAAATGTGACTTCAGAATTATACTGTGAGATGACCTCTCTCTGGCCCAAAGTGAGTAAGAGTTTTCAGACAAGGCAATAATAGCAAAATCAGAAATGGGGGAAACTTCATTTCCTTCATGGTCTCAAAACCCTGTATTTCTTCAGTCATTACAGAGGCTGACAGGAACACAGTTCCACTTCCAGGCTGGAGCTCAGGGAACTTGACTACTATGGGCAGACTCATGGCAACCGGGTGGTCCTAAGAATCATTGAAAATAATGTCTGCTTCTGTAAGACTTCTCATTCAAACATAATCTGAGCAAATTGTGAGCCAAGTACAAGGACCTGGCAGTTAGGACACCCCAACAGCCTCGTTCTGCAGGCTGGACCTCATTGAGATGCGCTGCCTCATGTCACCAAGAGCTGGGTGTGCCCAATGAGCAAACAGCAAATACAACTAAGACTGGAAATCTAAACTCTGGTATGTATTTTGAATAACCAAATAAATATTAAGCTTCCCCCTCCCCAATGCAGGAGTTCTTTTTTCCTTTTCTTCCCCCACCCCCAGAACATAATGAAACCGCCAACATACTCTTCTCCTGCAAAAGCCACAGTTGTGTTTGACAGACAGAAAGGTGAAGGGCCCTCGGAGCTTAGCACCAGAAGAAGGAGAAGGAACGCAGGCAATGGCTTTGTTTGGAATCACCAGGCTCCACAACCTACCATTACGTTTCTCACGGGGAGCTTTTTTTAGATTACCAAACAGTCTCAGCATGTCTTGTTGTTAATATTACTATTAAAATAAGTTCCTATGGAGGAAAAGAGGGACCAAGCTGGTTCTAAAATGTCTTGAAATCTCTCTTCTTAGGAAACAGAGCAGCGGGTGTGTTGTACGCGCCGGTCAGACTCCCATGGAAACGCTGCCTCCTCCATCCCTAACCACCTGTAGGTTTTAATCTTTTGCCTCTGAAAGAGGAGACTAACTTAGCATTTTTGTTAGCTTAGGTCTGTGTTTTGGTTTTTCTCGTGTGTGTGTGTGTGTGTGTGTGTGTGTGTGTGTGTGTGTGTGTGTGTGTGAAGTGCTGGCTTTTGGCCCAAAGTACACACATTTTGACTGAACCCAAGTGGCCACCAAATTGCCAACCTAGCGGATGAACCATGAGTTGTCCGTGCGACTTTATGGCATCTTCTAAAATTGCAACTTGTTCCCTTCCTCGGGCAGCTTGCCCGGAGATGCTGCTTCCGACTCTTACAAACACCCACTCAGTTGATTTCCTTTTGGTCTTGCTTCCACAGGAAGCAGATACTTGGCAAACCTGCAAGGTGGGGGGGCTGATCAGCTGTGGAAGTTCTGTACTGAGCCCTGTTTCTGGGAGAGCCGCAGGAGCTCCTCTCGGATCGCCTTGATGAGGGAGGCGGAGGAGTGGCCGGGTTGGAGGTCCTCTGTGGAGCTGGTGGGGTAACCCAGCCCAGGGCCCTGCAGCCCTCGGTGGGTGAGGTTCCCGGGAGGAGCTGAGGGCTCCCTGCCCGAAGTCCTTGGCACCTGAAACAGCGGTGAAGAAGAATACTCTTGATGTCCGAGCATGTGGGTCTGAAAGACACGGTAAACATTATTACACTTCCCTGCAAGAACAAGAGATAAAGCCTGGGGATGCCAAGTTGCCCTCCACCCATCTCCCACCAACTCCCTCAGCTCTCCTGCAGCATGGCCCCTCCCACCCAAGACCCTGTGTGCTGGGTGTAGAGTGAGCGGGTGCAGACAGGAGCTGCTCCAGGGCTTCTGATTCATGGGGAGAAGAGAGAGGGAGAGACTGGGTGCCAGAAAGGAAAAGTGGGGGCGGGAACACACACATGATGATATCCCAGAGTGGAGCAGCTAAGGAGCCACTGGCAAAAGGCATGGGGAGAACCCATGCCTCCGTTCTGGTGCCCAGGGAGTGTGCATAAGAACATACTGGGCGGTGGTGGCGCACGCCTTTAATTCCAGCACTCGGGAGGCAGAGCCAGGCGGATCTCTGTGAGTTCGAGGCCATCCTGGTCTACAGAGTGATTTCCAGGAAAGGCTCCAAAGCTACACAGAGAAACCCTGTCTCAAAAAAACAACCAACCAAACAAACAAACAAAAGAACATACTGGAACCTCGAGGCCAAAGCCCATCGCAAGGTCATTTTCCATCTCTTCTGTTCCTGAGTCAGAGTCTTATCCTTAGAACTCATCACTCTCTCTCTGACCTTCACTTCTCAACTGCTGGGGTCACAGGCAAGTCCCCCCACACCTGCTCATTTTCTACCTTATCCAACTGGTATCTAGCAGGCACTCTGTAGAGCCTTTTAAAAAAGTAGGCTATTTTTACTAGAAGACGTTAATTCTTCTGATTTGGCAGACTATCAATTGATTTGGCATTATTTTAGCAAAAATGACTACATTTTTTCAGTGGTTTTTTTTTAATCTTTCCCCCCTTTTTTTTGTAATACAAAAAAAAAAAAAAAAAAAAAAAAAAAAAAAAAAAAAAGATCTCGGATCAGTGAACTACATCTGTGTACAGGTTGGTATTATAAAGGTGAGACAAGCATGGCCTCCCGGCCCTGACTACTTCTGCATTTCACTTCCCCACACTGTGACGAAGAAAAACTCGCAGTGAATGTTGCTGGATTTAGCAGAAAACCCACAACACTTCATGAAATGAAGCTGGGCATAACAGTGACAGGAAGTTGTCAATATATTTGAAGCAAACGCATGAGACTGACTGTGAGTCTAGCAAGGAAGGTCTTTTCGTGGAAAATCACTCACTCAAGAGGTAAACTTCCTTTCACTAAATACAAGTTTCTGATTGGCCGGGAGATGATGGCACACACCTTTGATCCCAGCACTCGGGAGGCAGAGCCAGGTGGATCTCTGTGAGTTCGAGGCCAGCCTGGTCTACAGAGTGAGATCCAGGACAGCCAGGGCTACACAGAGAAATCCTGTCTCGAACCCCTCCCCCCGCAAAAAAAGGAAAGAAAAAAAAAGCTTCTAACTGTGAGGAATTTAGTGTGCCCACCGAGAAGGTAATAAATTGAAATAAAAGTTGGCACACAGCAATGAGATTCAAACAGAGGACTCTTCAGGTTTGCATTCTCAAAATCAGTTCGTTTATACCAAGAGAGAAAATTCTTTAAAAAAAAAAAGTTATTTTCTTTTATTTGTGTTTGTGTGTCTTTCTGTGTGTGTGCATGTACATATGTGTGTTTGTGTGTGTGCATGTACATATGTCAGTATGTGTCTGTGTGTCTGTGTGCATGTACATATGTCAGTGTGTATCTGTGTGTCTGTGTGCATGTACATATGTCAGTATGTATCTGTGTGTCTGTGTGCATGTACACATGTCAGTGTGTGTTTGTGTGTCTGTCTGTGTGTGCATGTACATATGTCAGTGTGTGTCTGTGTGTATGTATGTGTGTGTTCCCACTGAGGCCAGAGAGGGCATCAGATCCATTGGAGCTAGAGTTATTGGTACTGGAGAGTCACTGGACAAGGGTTCTAGGATTTGAACTCTGGTCCTCCTGATTGAACAGCAAGTGCTCTTAACCATCGATAAGCTCTACAGCCCCATGAAATTCTTGAGAAAATAAAGTCCTTGCAGAGATGAACGGTGCTCACGCTGAATAGCTAGAAACCCAAAGGACGATGGATGCCTTGAAATGCCCCAAGTCACGTACTTATCATAAAACCATCCCAGGTGGTGGTCAAGGTGGGAGTATCATCGGCAAGCCAGTGAGGATACAGAAAAGGTAAGATTGTGAAAAGCTACAGTGACCACACCAAAGAAGAAGTCTGGATTTCATTCAGGTCCATGACTTCAAACCTGAAACCTGCCTCGGGAGGATCACAGCCATTCCACAAGTGGAAGGGACTTCACCCAACAGCACAACCAAGCTAGGGCAAGAAGAGTGAAGGGCAGAAGCCCCAGATACTCACGGCTTCTCTTCGCCCTGCCTCCTCCTCCCCGTACACAGGCCAGCCTGGTCCCCCGTACTGGCCGCCTCTGCTGGGAGGAATTTCCACCGGCTGGGCCCCAATTCGGCTTGCGATTCCCACCTGTGTCAGGTGCTGGATCTGGGAGCCTGGAAGGAACACAGCAGCGACCAGGTCAGCGTCCACAGCACAGCCGAAGGGAGGCTGCCAAGTCCCCTTCGGCTCTGACCACGGGCTCCATCGAGGATAGGGAAAAACCAGGTATTTTTCAAACTCTGTGCTGATCTTGAGCATCTCCAGAAGCGGCATTTCATAAGAAAGCAGATGGGAGAGAGAGCTGCTTTCATTCCCCCTCAACATGACGCTGATGCAAGGCTCCTAACTTCCCACCACCGCCACCAGATGTCTGGGGATGAGGGATCACAGATGTCTTGAAAGGGGCAGAATGTTTTGAGGCTGTAAAGAAGCTGAAGTCTGGCACCTTCCTGCTTGTAGCTTTGAGATTCACAAGGACCTGAATGTATGATGTGCTTTTTTTTTCTTAAAAAGCAGGTGATGAGATTATTTAAATTCAGAACATTCAAAGTACACTACATGTTTCCACGACAGCCACAGCACAAGTAACCCCACTCGCTAGCTTAACAGCAAGAGTTAGCGAAGGCAAGGCCAGGTGTGGGCTAACTCCCCACACAGGGACATCGGCTTGTGTGTGGCTACAAAAGCCGGGTGTTCCTTCTTTCTCTTGTCGGCATCTGGCACATGGAAATACAACACAAATACCCACATTGCAATCAAGGAAGAAAAGGAAGGATCTTTATTTTATTTTTTGGTGGTGCTAAGGACTGAGTCCAGGACCTTGTACTGTCAGGCAGGTGCTCCACCAGTGAGCTACATCCCAACTCCTAAAACTTGATCTCTGAGCATTGTGAAATACAGCACATAGTTCTCAACACTACTAGGATCATCAAGTTAACCCATGGTACAGAAGTTCTCTGGGGGGCCTTTGGGGTGGTGTGGCCTCTCTGTTTCAGCCCATTTTTATGCTTGGTCCAGTTACCCTCAGCTAACAGACTACATTTTAAAAGGAACTCTTCCATGGTCATATCTGGACATACAGCAATAACTGATGGTAAAAAAGAAGTCTGGGCCTCGGCCAGGGCAGCGAGCTCCACAGGAGCCCCAGTCTGCACCTGGAAAGAGTGCAGCGTGGAAACCATCGAGCAATGTCGGTCGGTCGGCACTATCCACTCCGCAGACACAGGCTGTGCCCATCTTCAGAGGTCACAGATGTGGCCCAGGAAGGGATTTAAAGCATACCTTTCGTGTCAAGCCACACAGTGGCTGAAATCATAATGTAGTCCTGACTTTGAATATTGCTTTGATCCCTTAACAAAACAGCGCCGGCTTCCAGCTGACTCGACTCAGAGCCTGGCAGATCCGCAGCTGTGACAAGCCCTGTGTCCTCCAGAGGCTGGCTCTTGCCCCTGCTGGGCGTCAGCTCCTTACATCTTCAGTCACCACAGAGGGTTAGTTCAAGGAACAGGAGATATAAGGTAGATCAAGCCCCAGACATGCAGGTGGTAACTGGAGGATCCGGGATCATTTCAAGCCTTTCCTGACTCTTTATTTTAAATAGCTGCACATGGCCAGATATGATGGCACACAGCAATAATCTAGGTACTCAGGAGGCAGAGGCAGGTGGATCTCTGAGTGTCTGAGAGCCAGCTTGGTCTACATGGTGAGTTCCAGGACAGCCAGACCAAAATAGTGAGAAATAAAGCCAGATGGATAAACAGCTGCACAATTTACTCACTGGTTATCCAGGGAGGTAAGTTTCCTTTTCTTCCTAACCCAAACAATGATGTGCTAAACATCTTCATGCATGTCGTTTTCCCGTCAGTATTTTGGATTTGGGAGCAGGGAATACACAATTTCTTGTGTATTCCAAGAAAAAAAAATTACCAAACCAACAGCTCATGAGTCCTACTTACAAACTGGTCCCCAAAGCCCTCACTACATGATTCTGCTTCCTAATTGCGTCCCAGCCACCTCACACTCTGCCACCTCGCCTTCCCCGCCAAGATGAACTGGAACCCTCCAAGTGAGCAGGAAAACCCGTCCTTCCTCAAGCTGCTCTTGACTAGCACTGAGACTGTAACTACCACAGCCACCAGCAGCCACAACACAACAGGACACTAACAGCGGCAGCTGGTGTGTACTGAAGAGGGTGACACACCACGCAAATCACCACATTTTTATGAAGATAATTTCATGGTTGTATTTATCAAGTTTAATCTATACTTCTCCAGTTATTTTTAAAACTAGGCTATCTTCCTAGTTCTTTTATATGGTACGCACACACACACCTACACTTTTGTGAATTGTTTCTTCCTGTTCTCTGCTTATGTCTTCTGAAGGTTCCTTACTTGTCAATTTTTAAGATCAATCCTCTACAGTAAGCCTCCTTCTCACAAATTCTTACAGATCTTCCTTTTGTTTATCTTTGGAGACAGGATCTCTCTATTTAGCTCTGGCTGTCCTGGAACTCACTATGTAAACTACACTGAACTCACAGAGATCTGCCTGCCTCTGACTTTCAGGGGCTGGAATTAAAGGCTAGGACACCACACCTGGTTTCTGGTAATTTTTAAAAACACACATTTGATAATTTATTGTTGTTAAGTAAAGGTCTCATGTAGCTAGCCCAGGCTAGCCTCAAATTCACTATTCAGTCAAGAATGACTTTGAATTGATCCTCCTGCCTCCACCTCCCACTGCTGAGATTACAGGTGTGCACATGGTTTATGCAGGATTGAGGAATGGCCTTGTGTATGCCAGGGAGACACAATATCAGCTGAGCTACACTCCCAGCCCCACATTTGATGACTTTTTTATAATTAAAAAGTAATTCTAGGAGCTGGAGATGGCTCAGCAGTTAAGAGCACTTAATCACACTTGCAGAGAACCTGGGTTCAGTTCCCAGCACCCCCAAAGTGGTTGTGATCCTTTGTAATTCTAATTTCCAAAGACCCAACACCCTCTTCTGGCCTCCCCAGTTACTGTACTCATGTGCACAGACAGACACACAGGCTAAACACCCATACACATAAAATAAAAATAAATCAATCTTAAAAATATTCTTCCAGGGCTGGACGGCAGTGGTGCACACCTTTAATCCCAGCACTTGGGAGGCAGAGCCAGGTGGCTCTCTGTGGAGACACCTGGTCTACAGAGCAAGATCCAGGACAGGCACCAAAACTACACAGAGAAACCCTGTCTCAAAAAACCAAAAAAAAAAAAAAAAAAACTTCCAATAGATAACATTTTCCATTATATACATTTACACAATTTGTAGCTGGGCAGTGGTGGCAAACACCTTTAATCCCAGTACTAGGAAGGCAGAGGCAGATGGATCTCTGTAAGTTTGTGGCCAGCCAGCTTGGTCTACAGAGCTAGTTCTAGGACAGCCAGGGTAGTTACACAGAGACCCTGTCTCGAAAAAAGAAAAAAAAAATTAAGTAAGTTCATTTTAGAAATGATCAGAAGACAGACTATAGTTGAATATTTGACACAACTTCTATGTTCACGGTTTTAACTAAAACTTAATGCATCTGATTTTGGTTAGCATGGACACAGTGATCTGAATTTGATCAGCACGGATGCAGTGATCTGAATTTGGTCAGCACGGACGCAGTGATCTGAATTTGGTCAGCACGGATGCAGTGATCTGAATTTGGTCAGCACGGACGCAGTGATCTGAATTTGGTCAGCAAGATGCAGTGATCTGAATTTGGTCAGCACAGATGCAGTGATCTGAATTTGGTCAGCACGGACGCAGTGATCTGAATTTGGTCAGCAGGATGCAGTGATCTGAATTTGGTCAGCAAGATGCAGTGATCTGAATTTGGTCAGCACGGATGCAGTGATCTGAATTTGGTTAGCATGGATGCAGTGATCTGAATTTGGTTAGCACAGATGCAGTGCAGCAAGGCCCGAATATACAATAACAAGAGGACTGAGGCTCTAGGCAAAGAACAGGACCTGGAAAGTAGGAAACCCCACAGAGCATCAGGACACACTGTTCTGTGTTCAACGCAAAATACAAGAATTTTCTAGAATAACACAATAGAAAAATATCTAGTGTGGTGGTTTGAATAGGAATGGCCCCATAGGGAGTGGCACTATTAGGAGGTGTGGCCTTGTAGGAGGAAGTGTGTCACTAGGGACAGGCTTTGAGGTTTCCAATGCTCAAGCCAGACCTAGTGTATCTCTCTCTTCCTGCTGCCTGCTGATCCAGATGTAGAACTCTCAGCTGCCTCTCCAGCATCATGTCTGCCTGTATGCTGCCATGATGATAATGGACTAAAGCTCTGAACCATAAGCCAGCCCCAAATAAATGTTTTCCTTTATAAGAAACACCATGCTGTGGCCATGGTGTCTCTTCACAGTAACAGAACTTTGACTAAGACATGTAGCAATCACTGAATATTTGAAATTCACCTAAACTACTTTCTTTTTTTTTTTTGGTTTTTCGAGACAGGGTTTCTCTGTGTAGCTTTGCGCCTTTCCTGGATCTCGCTCTGCAGACCAGGCTGGCCTCGAACTCACAGAGATCCGCCTGCCTCTGCCTCCCGAGTGCTGGGATTAAAGGCGTGCACCACCACTGCCCAGCTTAAACTACTTTCTTGATGTTACCATAGAAGTGTATATATATTCCACAAAGAGAAGCTTCAGGCTGGCTTCATAGGAGGGAGAGGGAATAACTGGGGAGGACGAAAGAGTGAATGGGCTTAAGCCATAAAACACACCAAGGTGTCTTTGCAAAATATACAGGGAACAGGATGAGCCTGGGAAGGGCCATAATCTCAAGTAGCACAGATGCTGGAAACAGGATGCATTCACAGACAGCCCTCAGAGCATTGGCTCTTCGTGAGTTGGAAAGCTATGAAAGGAGACAGTGATCTGGGGGGAGTCAAGTCTGAAGCTTGGGTAAACTGCTGGGGTGATACCAACAGCGGCTACAATGAACTTCAGCATCGCCATGGTGGCCACTGCTTACCCACCAAAGAGCAGTGTCCCCACCCCCACCCCCTCACCCCCACACTGAAACCCTAAAGGGTCTCACAGCTGTTCCACTTACACCTCTGGCGGGCCAACAGAGAATCATAAAGTACAGTCGTAGGGTGCAGGAGATTGCTCAGCGGGTAGAGGTCCCTGGCATGTAAGCCTGACCACCTGAGCTGGATTCCCAGAATCTATTGTAAAAGCCAGATGGGGCGGCAGCGCACATTTGTAATGCCAGCATTCTTAGGGAGAGACGGAAGGCAGAGACAAGTGCTAGCGGGCCAGCTACACTGGCTTGGCAGCAAGTGTCCTACCATGCAGAAATGCAAGCTCAATCACCATACCCACCTGTGGTGCCCCCAACAGGCCGAGGACGGGCGACCGACGGCATCTCCTCAGGGTAGAGCCCTCGGGCAGCAAATGGAGCTTCAGCTGATGACTGGGGCTGTGGGGGTTCAGGGGGGACCAACTCTGAAGATGGCAGCAACCCTGGGCCGAAGCTAGGTCTGCTGGGAGAGCACAGCACGTGTCAAAACCCCTTACCTGGCTCTGGAATTTTATTAGGCTAGCGCCCCCTACAGGGCTTTACCACGGCTTCATGTAATTATCTATCTCTTCTAGTGGAATACAGGACATTGTCTGGCTCCTTAGGGGCTGCAAGTTTCCTGTTAGTCCAGGGCCCTGCCTAGGTACTAAGTCTGAAAGACTGACAGGAGAAGAAAGGAGGGAGGAGGAAAGAGGAGGGGGAGGAGGGGTGGAGGAGAGGGGAGGCGTGTGACTGGAGCCTCGCTTTTCAGTCTGGCCTCCCACGCTGCACCCCAGAAAGATGCAACCCAGACCTGAGTTGTCTGATGTTTGCTTTTGGGTTTTTGTTTTTGAAAGAAAAATCTCACTTGTCCATCAAGACTGAAAACCAGTTTAAGAAGTGTTCTCTAACTTTTTAAGTTCTGAACCCCTTTAAACTTAGAAAAAAAATTACTGAGGGCTCTGAAGAGCTTCTATATGGATTCTATCCATAAATATTAACTTCATTGTAAGTTAAAACTAAGAACATTTAAGGATACTTCCTTTAAGAATCTATTAAAAACACAAGCCTATTACGTGTTAGCATAATAATCCTCATGAACTAAACCACTCTCCCCAACCGCTCACCTCCCAATTAGTGGGGTACTGCCTTAGATTTGACTCAAATGCCCTTCACAGAGGACATCTAGAGTCTCACACATTTTCTTCATTATCTAGAGAATACTTTATTAGTTTCTGTAATCAAACCCACACAGGTAAGACCTTACATATTTAATATAGTGTATCATCTCTGTACAAATGGGCAAAAAGTTAAGTTTAACATTTCTAGACCAACATGAATGTTGATTTTTGTATTTTTCCAAAGTCGAAAGCACAGCTAAAGTTTCCAAAAATCCAAATTATATAGATGCACATATATATTTATATTTCTACAAAAGACCAGTAACAGCAGTATGTTATTCATCAATAGTAGCAACAGCCTTTCCAGGTTCTGCATTCATTTCAACAAAATTGTAGATATCCAGCACACTTCATTAAAAAAAAAAAAGTAAAAAACAAAATCCCCCCAAATAGCACAGTTTCCCGTGTATTTTATATTGTCATCTGACATGTGTTCCTTTAGGAAAATCTGCCCTTACAGAGGACGTTCTCAGAGGAGCGAGGCGGATACTAACGATCTGCTAGAAAATCCTCAATCACCATTTCACACCCTGCTTGATTCCACACCAAACTCTGGAATCTCACACAGGACTCTGAAGGAACTTCCCATACTCTGTTCCATTAAAACCCACTGCTCTGTCTTCTGACATCTGTCATTTGGGAAATACAAATTATGAAGAGTCTACGGATATGGACACACTTAATTTCATAACAGTAAAAAAACCTCAATTGAGCTCATGCAGAAAAGCCTGTAGGTGCTCGGACACTGTCAAATTCACAATTGCAGATGCAAGTTAACAAATGCCTAATTTTCACTTGACTAGGCAGGATAAAATTCCTCTTCCTGGACATGTCTGTTACTATCGGATTAAAAAACTTTTGTTTATATTTACTTAATTTTATGCATATGAGTGTTTTGCCTACACGGATGTATGTGTGCCTGGTGCCCTTGGAGGCCAGAAGAGGGCACTGGGAATCGAACCCTGATCCTCTGAGGTGCTCTTCACTGTCAAGCCATCTCTCCAGCCCCGTCACTACCTGATTTTTATCTTTTAAAAAAATTTTTCATTACCTGATTTTAAAAATAACTTCTTGCTCATAAATATTTTGAACTCCGGTGAATTCTACTCAGCAAGTCTACTGAGCAGGCTCAGAGCTCACTGCCAAAATACTTCTCCTCTACGTTTTGTGTGCTAAGACTCTTAGCACACACGGATGTTGTTTCATCAAATGCTGTGTCTACTGAAATGGCACTTTTCCTCCTTTGTCCTCTTCGAAGGAGTATATTACACGGCTCGGATTTTAAGATGCTAAATCACCCTGTGTGTTGCTAACATCACCCCAAATTGGTTGTAGTACAATATCCTTTATATATATTGCTACACGCTTGTAAATATTTGGCTTCATGTTCTTTGTTCATGAGAAAAATGGCCCTTAATGTTTCCATTTTCACAAGGTCCTTGTTCTTCTAATTCATCCTTTCCTGGCTCTCATCTCCCTTCCCCACCTCTCACACAGTAGCAGAACTTAAATTCCAGCATTGCGCGTGCATGCGTGCGTGTGTGTGTGTGTGTGTGTGTGTGTGTATGTGTGCGTGCGTGTGTGTGTGCGCGCGCGCGCGCGTGTGTGTGTGTGTGTGTGTGTGTGCGCGCGCGTGTGTACGTGTGCTATGGCACATGAGGTCAGAGGGCAGCCTGCTGGAGTCAGTTCTCTTCCTTCTATGACGGAACTCAGGTCATCAGGCTTGGTGGCAAGCCCCTTTACCCACTGAGCCATTTTGCCTGCCCAAGTCCTAATACTTGATCTGGTTAGATCAAGAAAATATACAACCCAGAGTTTGGTAACTGTTCAAATTAACTAAAAAATATGAGTCTGTAAAATTGAAAAAAAAAAAAAAACAAAAAAAAACCAGTCTGCATGAGAAAGCCATGACAGGGTTTCTCCTGGAAATCTTACCTTGGTAACGGGCCTGATGGGGGCGTCATCCCATAGTCTTCGAATCTCTAGGGGAAATTGAAAAGAACATAAAAATAAACATTTAATACTTACTACAAATGACAATATCAAGCTTACAAACTTAGGTCAATTTTCAGGAATATTATTATTGCTATGCTGTTATTGGGGGAGTGTTTCATTATGTTACCTTAGCTAGCCTGGACCTTACTATGTAGAACAGGCTAGTCCTGAGAGATCTGCCTGCCTCTGCCTCCTGAGTGCTGGGATTAAGGGAATGTGTTCCCATACCTAGCAAGAACTGTTTTTATTTTGTTTGTTGCTGGGTTTTGTTTTGTTTTATTTTGAGATAGGGTCTCTCTACACAGCCCTGGCTGCCCTGGAACTCACTATGTAGACCAGGCTAGCCTCAAACTCACAGAACTCCACCTGCCTCTACCATCAAAGAACTCGGATTAAAGGCATGCACCACAATGCCCAGTAGGAACTGTTTTCTTATAAAAACTTAGCATGGTACTGGGGTCCTCCATCAGCAAGCAATGATGGACGCTTTCCAACTGACTAACTTACTTATAATTTTATTTTTTACTTTATGTGTACATGCCTGTGTGTACATCTGTGCACCATGTGTGCCGTGTCAGTGGGGCCAGAGGTGGCATCGGATCCCCAGAATTGGAGTTACAGAGAGCTGTGAGCCACCACGTACAGCTGACAGACTGTCCCCCATCCTGTAAGCTGACTCGTCACACTGCTGACTGTTTGCTTCACTGTGCCCAAGCCTTTTAATTTCATGTCATCCCAGCTGTCAAGTCTTGGGGTTATTCTGTGTGCTACTGGAGCCAATTTTTAGGACTAAAAATTCAAAACTGGGTGAATTTAAAAATTTAAAATGGGAAGGGAAGGGAAAAGAAAAAGGAAAAAGAGGAAAAGGAAAAGGAAAAAGGAAAGGAAAGAAGTGGGTTCCACGTGGCATTTTCATGCATATGTGCCGTGACACCTTGTTCTTACCTGTCCCTTCCCATCCCCTTTCCTCCCTCAAACAGTCTCTGCTCCGGCTTTCACGTCACTTGTATTCCACTACCCCTTTCTCCTTGGGACCTCTTCCTGCCCCTCACGGTCCCTTTTCTACTTTCATGCTCTACGTATACATAAAACTAGATTCTACATAAAGAGAAAACATACTAGATCTCTTTCTGAGGCTGGCTTATTTGTTTAACAAAATGATCTCCGGTTCTATCCATTTCCCACAGATGATTTCACTCTTCTTTACAGCTGGATAAAGCTCCATTTCATATGCACCACACCTTCACCTGTTCACCTGCCGACAGGCACCGAGGCAGGTTCCTTCAGCAGCCACGTGAACAAAGCAACAATAAACGTGGATGAGTGGGATTTCTTTGGTATGCCAACTTACAGTCCTTCAGGACTGAGGAACCACCACAGCAGCTCCATCAGTTTCCATTCCCATCACAAGTAAGTGTTCCTCTCTCCCCACATCTACCTCAACATTTCCGTCTATCCTTCCTTCCTTCACTTCAGGCAGGGTCCCACAGGGTCCCACTAGGTAGCTCTGGCTGTCCTGGAACTCACTATGTAGACCAAGCTGGCTTGGGCTCACACAGATCTGCCTGCCTCTGCTGAGATTAAAGGCACGGGCCACCACAATTAACTGATTATCTAGATACGAATCCCTCATCTCACGTGTTTTGAAGTAGTTTAATATTTACTATTATAAAGCTGTAACAACAACAAAAAAAACAACAGTAACAACTAGATGGAATGGTAGTTCTCCCACGTGATAGCAGCTGCCCACACCAAGGATCCCTGCATCTCTTGCCTTGAAGGAAATAATCTATGAAGAATCATACCAACCTCAGAGATAAAATTCCATACATATACACATATATACACACACACATATATGGAGAGATAGATAAGACACCCCCAGGATTACCGTAACACAGGTTTTAAAAAAAAATCAGAAAAACCCAGTACAAATACTCACCAACCAATGAACTTACATTGTGACCTATTAACTTCTCTCTGGAGTTAATAGGTCACAAACCTTTTAGTGCAATCATTTCATCTGAAACTAGTGGAAAGCAGTGAGTGTCATTTCCTTGAGCTTAACTTCTATGTCTTCTCTTTTTTTTTTTTTTTTTTGAGCTGAGGATAGAACCCAGGGCCCTGCGCTTGCTAGGCAAGCACTCTACCACTGAGCTAAAACTCCAACCCTATGTCTTCTCTTAAAGAGAATTTGGGGCAGGGGGATGGCTCAGTCAGTAAACTGCTTGCTGTCCAGGTTTGAGGGCCCTGAGTTGGATCCCCAGCACCCATATCATAATCCAGATACGTGATGGCACTCACGTATAATCCCAGTGCTGGGGAGGCGGAGACAGGAGGAAGAACCCTTTGGCTTACTTGGCCAGCCGGCCTCAATGATCTGAGAGTAAGACCCACCTACCTCAACAAAAAGGACAGCGCCTAAGGAACAGTACCTGAAACTGACCTCTGGTCTCCACATGCCTGTGCACCCACGTGTACCCGCATGTGAGCAAGCACCAACCCCATCCCCCTACCCACACCCACACCCACATACAAAGAAGAACTTGACAAAAACAGACAAGATATAATAAGTATAAGTGATTACAACAAAGGCATATGGACAGCCAACATTTGCAAACGGCTGTCCTTATCTGTGCTTGGACTTGTGCCCCTGCCCCCCCTCCCCGCCCCCAGCCTTGGGAACATCTCCAGGACCAGGTGGTCCAAGGACAAGTTAAACAATGTGAGGAGTTTCTATGCTGGTGCCTTTACTGAATCAACGAGAACACGCCCTGACAACGCATCTCCCCTTTGTGACCCTGTGAGGAAGCTGGGAAGATGCTTCCTGCACCATCATCACCCGCATCATCCCTCCTGCAGGAAAGGATGTGCATCATCACCCGCATCCCTCCTGCATGAAAGGATGCCTCCAACACCAAGAATTAATTGTAGTACAAGATGAAAACTAAGACCTACCAAGCAGCTTTAAATCTAAGCAAACGCAGCCAAAGTTTTGCAGCGAGCCTTCAAGTGATACAGTTAGGTAACAAAACTCAAGCCCCGTGCCCAGAAGAGAATTCCAGGAGGCTAGTACTTACGCTGCAGGGGTTGTTGGCCGTCTGGGCTGGACTGTAGAAAGACCCCCACTGCGTGGCTCGCCTTTCTTCCCTGGAAGGGGTACTATTCACAGGCAGGCTGGCCGGCACCCCAGGACCTGCTCCCGGGGCACTGGGAGGCTGGCTACTGGGGGCCACGAGGGCGAAGGCGTCATCCAGGAGGGAGTGCATGGTCTGGCGTGCCTCCTCGATGGACGGCTGCGGGGGGATGTACTGAGAGGCCGAGAAGGGCAAGCCCGGATACCTGCTCAGCTCTGCAGAGGATGGCGTCTGCACCTCAGCCGGAAGGTCAGGATCAGACTGTGGGAGAGGCAAGGAGGAAAATGACATGTGTGCTTCCCTGGGGGCTGGGGACAGAGCATGAAACAAGGTTCTGGCACAGAGTGGAATTTAACAATGGTCCTGCCGTGTGGGGAAGGGTTTGTCCTAAGAATTAAAAATCATCTACACAATATGTATCCCATTTTGTGGGAGACATAGACAACTGGAGAAAAAAACCAAGCGGGAATATTCAACTTCTTTTCTGTAAAACTCAACCACGTGAAATGGATCTCAGAACCTGGAGGTAGACATCTTCCCTGAGAACCTAAGCGGCCACAATTCACACTTGGAAGTGCGCACACCACACAAATCCAGTCAACTCTCCATGGGTGTACAAACCAAAAGGAGGAGCAGCCTATTAACAGTCAGAAAACACTGTGTCTATGGATAAGTAATTCAAAGAACTCTTTAAAAACCGCTTACATGGTAATTAGTGACAAATATTCAGAAATTATGTCTCTAAAATGGAGGTATCCGAGTCATTAAGAAAAGTTTAAGAAGCAAGAATCAGAGAAACTAGGTGGCTTTTTAAAAAAAAAAACAACTTTCTTCTTTTTCATTTTATTTATTGAGACAGGGTCTTACTATGCAGTCTTGATTGGCCTGGAATTTCCTATGCAGACCAAGATGGCCTTGAACTCAGAGAACCACCTGCCCCTGCCTCTGCAGTGCTTGAATTAGAGTCACGTGCCACCACGTCCAGCTCAAGATTATTTTATTTTACATTGTGTGTGCACCAGCACATGTGTGCGTGAGTGTGAGTGTATGTGTGTGTGTGCGCGTGCGCGCGCACTCACACACCGAGCGCTCAGATCCCAGTGGAAGGCGCTCACCTACACCCCAGAGCCCCAGCACTCCAGGCCCTTCCCATCTCATCCTCAGGGGTCATACTTTAAAGGAGACGGAGACACTTTAACCTCTGGAGCAGGACAGACAGGTCTGAGGCTGGGAAGGGCAGTTCCTTTGGGTTCCCCCCTGGCACGGGAATCCAAAAAACCAGAAACCCAAAAGGAGAGCCACCAAGTCAGAACTTCCCACTCCCCTGTCTCTTCGCTGCCTCTTCGGGTCCCAGCCTCTACTGTCAGAACCTGAAGGTCAAGCGTTCACTCTCCCACACGCCGCCATCATCAAGCACAATGCCTCACAGGGAGACAGAACCCAACAGATGACAACCTGAGGACCACAAAGGTAAGACTTCCTAAGGCGCTTGCTTGGGTTGGAATTTAAATTCTACTCTCTTGAATTCCGGTCTGCTGACCCTGTTCTGATTCAGTGCTGCTTCGTTCAAGATATGAACAAACATCAGCTCACCCCAGACAGGGCCCCAAGCCCTCAATTCTACTCAAGTATAGCCAAGTTTCCCTGGGGTGACTTACAGGAGAATTCTGTGAGACTTCAAGGGGCGTGGGCAACTGACAGACAACTACGCCCTCAAGAAAATCTGCCTCCTGGCCATTATTAATCCTTATACATAGTTCTTCAGAAGGGAGGAGCTTTGGGTTTCCTGAGCCCCTCCTGCCTGCCTCGGGATAAACACAACAGCTCTGACCTCCAAATGGCAACGCCATGAGGATGGCGCTTTACGGCAGACTCCTGTGCCTGTCCTTTTTCAGACGGGCACGCGGAGCTCCTCTAGACATCGTGGTTCTTGCCTTGCGGTGGCTATTTGGCAAACCTTAGTGGGCTCTTAAAAGAGCAACCTCACATCCTGGTTTAGGTTTGTGCCTGCTGCCCTGGTTTAATCAGTGACAGCACCTCCGTTCTTTCCCAAGAGCATCTGGTTTGGACTCTAACTGACGTTAGGGGGTCAACATTGGAGTGTTCTGCTGCTGCTGCTGCTGCTGCTGCTGTTGTAATGAGATAAGATCTCTCTACCTCCAAACGCCTGGGCTCAAGCACCCGCCTGGCCGCAGCTGGGACTGTGGAAGGGCACCAGCAGGCCGGGCGCCAACAAAAACTTTTAGTCAAGAGCCAGACAATAAATATTTTAGGTTCTGCAAGTCGTAAAAGTCTGTCACAGCGCAACTCCAAAAGCAGCCAAAGACAGCATTCAAGTAAGGGCGCGGCTACCTTACAAAAAGCCCAGTGTTGACCAAAACAGCGGCAGGCTGGATGTGGTCCAAGGGCAGAAGCCTTCCAGGCCCAAACTAGAGTGGAGACTGGCCAAAAGGGGTTGAGGATTCTGGAGGACAGCCCTCAAGGAGAAGTTATTTTGAGAGAAAAAGTGGAAAATTCCAGATAATTTAAAACTATGCAGTGCACATATGGTCTTGAAGGTAAAAAAAAAAAAAAAAAATCTAGCTAGGAAAAGGTGAATTCTGAGAAAGGCATGATTTGTGAAGCACACATCACAGAATTTCAGGCAGAGTCAAAAGTGAAGTACATCTGGGGAGGAGTTTCTGAGCAGGGAATCTTTGGAAAGGCAGTCCTAGAGACAGAGTCCAAGGAGGTTCCAGGAAGGTTCTTCCCATCAACTCTTGGAGGGACCCTGCACTTCCCGTGAAAGACGAAAATGGAGAAAACAAAGGCAAGTCCCAGCCAGGCGCAAGGGCATCTGCCTGTGGTCCCAGCACTCAGAAGGCTGCTTCAATTAGGATTTTGAAGCTAGCCTGGGCAACATAGCAAGATTTTGTCCCCCTAATTAAGTTAAACCCAAAAGGAGAGCCCAGGACACCATGAGGGGAGCCTGACATTTACCATCAATGAAGGCCATCAGTGGAAGGAAACATGTCACTCCCTACACAAAATTCAACAGGAGGGTGGAACTCCAGGGCTGGAAAACAAGGACCTCCTGCAGGCTCCCTTGGGAGGAGCCCAGGCTGGCCAGGAAAGGTCGTGGGAGAAGGGAAAGGGATGCGGTTTCTTTTCCTATGACTAGTTCCACAAAAGCACCAGGTGACCATACGGAAGGCCTCCGAGGAGGACAGTTTCTCTAGACTGAGCCAAACACCGCCAGTTTTGGATACATGCTTCCCAAACACTCCAGCAGGACAGGAACATTCATCTGTTGCAGAAAAAGCTGCTGTGTGTGTGTGTGAAAGAGAGAGGGGGGGGGGGGGTTCCTCCCCAGTTAGGGAGCACTGCATTCAGAGAGAGGAAGAGAAACTACTCGATTCCTTCGCTCTACAGTGGCATCGATAATTAGCCGCTCTAGCTCACAAGAACCCTCATGAGCAGGTTATGAAGGTCAGAGTCAGGCTTCAGAGCACACTGAACTTGCAAAGAAGAACCTGTTTCTTCCAGATGAACTTGATGGCATTAGACCACAGCCTTACGTCAGTACCGTGCTTGGTACATTTGTATACACATTTTGAATGTTTTTCCATATTAGGTGTCATTTAGGGGAAAAAAATGGAAACCTCAAATAACTTAAGTGCTACAGGGCAATTGTGTCCATCACAATGCCTTCTCTAGGGATGAGCTTGTTGCTAAGATCACACAAACAAAGCTGGCCCTCTAAGTTTGCTCAGCACAGTAGAGCTGAGTCCTTTACACTCCCCCGGCTGCCAGGGAGTTGTGTCCTTTGGACTCTCCCTCTCTTCCCAGGGCATCTTTGTGTCTTGTGCTAAAGGTCCCTTGAGAAGCTAGGTTTCCTCTTCAATGGAGCCTGTGTGTATATGTCACACTGTATCAATGTCTGCCTTCATCACTTCAAGCCACACTGTCCACTTCCATTTGAAAAAAAAAGGGGTTTCATCCTGATTTCTACTAAGCTCTTTTTACCATGAAAAATGTGTGTGTGTGTGTATGTGTATGTGTGTGTGTGTGTGTGTGTGTGTGTGTGTGTGTGTGTGTGTGTGTGTGTTCGAAGGCTGATATCCCTAATCTGAAATCAGAAACTTTCTGAGCTATGACATGACGCTCAGTTGGGGATTTTGAACATTTCACATTTGTAGACTTTCCTATTGGAATGCTCAACTGGTAAAGTTTGCAGACACGTTCCAGCGTATCCAGTATCTGAAGCAGTGTAGTTCCAGCATTTTGGATAAGGGAGTCACAACTGCATGTTCACTCTGTGAGTGTGTGTGTGGGTGTGCAGACAAAACAGGAAATATCCAACACCCCTCGAACAACCGTCAGAGCAGAGAGAAAACCTAGACATTTTTGTTCTTCCAATTAACCTCAAGCAGCTCCTATTTCGAAGGCAGATGGGCTAGCACAGAGAGGAAGGCCTGGGACACACTCTCAGGTGTCACCCAGCAGCTCCCGGGCTGCTCTGACTCAGGCTTTGCTGCCTGGTGCCCTGGCATCCACGGGGCACAGGGCAGCAGCCACTACTGTGCACTCTCCTTCCTCATCAGGGCACCCTCCTCAGAGCTCCCACCCTGGTTCCCAAGCGCTCGGGATTACGCACTGGGCATCCAATATAGGCGGAGTTGTGCACACCCGGAGGCCGCTTGTATGTGCCATCACTGTCTGTGGTGATGAGTCTGTCCTTCTCGGCATCAGCGGGACAGCCATTGACCTGGTGTTTCCGGCGTGGCTTAGGAGAACGTTTTATCCGTGAGCTGATGGGAAAAACAGAAATTATCTTCAGAGGAAATAAACCTGTTAGCCACTGGCTTATCAACGTAACACCGAATGTTTTCTGAATGCTTATGATGGGCTGGCCACCGTAGGAAAAGCTCCAGGGATTCTGACAAAGTGACAGCCACAGTCTGGGCCCTACGGACCAGACCGAACTGACACAGAGACAACAGAACAGTCTGTACTCAGATCATCATTTAATGACATGGCCAGTCAAAAGGTGGCAGGTCCAGCTGAGCGCTATTAATACCCCACAGGTGACCTGAATGGGTCGAACAGATCTGGGGCTGAGGAGGGACATAAGAGGAGCCTAGGAAGTGCCAGCCCAGCAGGCTGAGAGCCAGAAATGGCTGCAGAGGACCCTGGGGGCAAGATCAGAGGGCCGTCCGCTGTAGTCACAGCTCTGTGTGGCTGGCCACAGACAACCGAAATAGAGGAAGGCGCCACCTGCTCCAGGGGTACAGGTTTGGGCATAGAAAGACAAGCTTATTGTTTCATTTACTTCTTAGAGTGTAAGTGTTTTGCCTCCCAGAAAAGGGCACTGGATCCCCTGGGACCGGAGTTACAAATGGTTGCGCATCACCATGGAGGTGCTGGGGATCGAACCTATGTCGTCCGGAAGAGCAGCTACAGCTCTTAACCACTGAGCTATTCATCCAGCCCCAATGTATTTACAGAAAACATGCCTACATGATGGGGCAGGGGCTGTCAGATGGGGACCAAACTGTGAGAACAAGCATGGAGACCTGCCACACTACCTCGTGACTATCCAGGTGGTAAGACACGAGAGGTGAGGAGTAAGAAGGAATGAGAAGAGCTAAGTGGGCAGGGGAGAAGCTGGCTGTACAAAGAGAAGGTAGGTGCATGCTTTGATCAGATGGAGGAAGCCAATAGGGCTAAGCTGGGATATGGAGATAGAACCCCCTCCCCCCCCCAGTTCCTTCTCTCCCCAGGAGGCGGCTCCTCCACTTCCCGCACACCTACACTACCTCTACAGAAACCTCTTCAATTCACTGTCACAGACTATCAACCCGGATACGACCAGGACTCCTGTCGTCGGCCCCAGTCTCCAACCTGCCCTGTGTCTAGTCTGCCTGCCCACCGTGTCCCCGGGGCCCCTGCCCACCTCTTCCTGGGCTCTATGAACACAGAGGGCACACTGGCTGCGGGGTCCAGGATCTTGTCGATCTGCATCTGTGCCCTGCGGTACACTCGGTGTCGCTCCTTGGTGTCCCCGGAAGACAGGTCATCCACCACTGGGAACTCGTAGTGGCCTCGGCGTTTGGCACGCAGGCGGATCTTGTTGCGGTGGTGCTCGATCTCTGACTTGTGGCGCAGTGCGGACTGGATCTGTGCGCAGGGGGTGGGCAGCAAGAACCATCGCTCAGGGTGTTTTCTGGGGTCTCCGGGACACTTCCTCCGCAAAGCCCTTTGAGAGACGTCCTCCTCTCCCCAACTCTGCACTTGCTCTATGGGCTTGATGGAGGCACCCGTGCAGGGGACAGAGAATAGACACTGTCTACCCCGAGTGGCAGAGAGCCAGCCACCTACTCACCGGCGATCACCAGCTTAGGGAAGGCTGACCCCAGTGTTCAAGAGCCAGGGGTGGCTGAGGCAGAGAGCATGGCTTTCCAGAGGCAGCCTACTCAAGGCTGCCGTTTTAATGCTCTTCTGCTAATCTCGTCAGAATCCATCGCTGTCCTGACTAGTGTTGGAGTTTAAAAAGAATCAGGTGTCGGGGGAGGGCTCCAGAGGCCGCACCACGAGCACAGCAGCTACTGGCAGTTGATGATGTCTGAGAGGGGTACAGTCACTTTTTCTTTGAGGATGTGGCTACCGCTGGGTGGCCCTTGCCCAGTGGACGGAGCTTATTATTAATAATGATGATGATGATAAGATAAAGACATGAAGTTTGGAGGGAGATAGGTTAGGGGGTCTGGAGAGAGTTGAGGGAGTGGATACACTGTATGCATGGACCAAATTATCAAAGAATAAATAATACATTAAACAATAAAATGTAAGGTGTGTGTGTGTGTGTGTGTGTGTGTGTGAGACTTCTTGCTTGTTTTGTTTTTTGATTCTGAGACAGGATCTTACAGTGCAGCCCGAGCTATGCAGCCCCGGAGTGACCCTTCTGTCTCAGCCTCCAGGGTGCTGGGATTGCAGGCTGAAGCCACCATACCCAGCCTGCAGTGTTCTGAATCAGGTCCACCTGTAGCGGTGCATGCATTTGGCAACTGTCCAATACCGGGCCTTCCACTCACTGTTCCAGCACTGACTGAATCGGGACGTGAGCTTTTTTATTAATCGCTTTCATTAAAATCGAATACCTCCTTGTTGATTTTGTTGGTTTCTGCTACTCGGTCGGCCAGGACAGGGTGCTGCACGGGGGGGTGCTGGGATGGGCTGCATGGCGATGAGCTGGATCTTACTGGGGACCCTCCGGCTGGCCTCTGAGGTTCGGGAAATTCGGTCAACATGCTCGAAGATAGAGGCTGAGGAATGCTGCTCATTGCCTGAAGTGGGCAGGGGGGCACCTGGAACAGACAGGAGGCACATGAGCAGAAAAGCACCAGAAAGCAGCAATAAGGAGTCAAAATTATGCATCATCCCTGAAGGCATCTTTGGGCCTAGTCTTTGACCAAAGCAACCAAAATCTCTAGTTCAGCAAATATAATCTCTATAAAATTATCTCTTTTGGCTTCGTTAAAAATTACAAATGAGGAAAGGCGCAAAGCTACACAGAGAAACCCTGTCTCGAAAAACCAAAAAAAAAAAAAAAAAAAAAAAAAAAAAAATTACAAATGAGCCAGACAGCGGTGGCACATGCCTTTAATCCCAGCACTCGGGAGGCAGAGCCAGGCGGATCTCCGTGAGTTCGAGGCCAGCCTGGTCTACAGAGCAAGATCCATGACAGGCACCAAAACTACACAGAGAAACCCTGTCTCAAAAAACAAAAAAAATTTACAAATGAGAGGGGGCTGGAGAGATAGCTCAGTGGTTAAGAGCACTGGCTGCTCTTCCAGAGGTCCTGAGTTCAATTCCCAGCAACCACATGATGACTCACAACCATCTATAATGAGATCTGGCGCCCTCTTCTGGCCTGCAGGCATACATGCATGCAGAACACTGTATACATAATAAATAAATAAATTTTTAAAAATTACAAATGAGGACTGGCAAGATGGCTCAGCCGGTAAAGGTACTTGTGCACAGGCCTTATTGCTTTAATTCAACCCTGGATCTCATGAGGGGGCAGAGAACTGACTCCTGAAAGCTGTCCTGAACCTCCATACATGCCATGGTGCACACCTGTGTGCACACATACACACACACACACACACACACACACACATATACACTTAATAAAATTACAAATGCTTTGAGGAAAGATGTGAGAAAGTCATTATGATACTATGTGCCAAAGACCACTCAACTGTTTTTTTGTTTTTTCCTACATGTAGCTAAAAAATCTTCATAAAGAGACAGGAAGGCTCATCTGAGAAGAGTGTTTCGTAGCATGTTTCAGGGCCAATGTCCGATATCCAGAACCACGAAACAAAACATAGAACGTCTGAGCTGGGTATGCTGGTGCATGCCTGTAATCCTAGTACTCAGAAGACGGGGACAGGAGGAGCAGGAGTTCCACGACCATCTCCAGCTACATAGCAAGTTCTAGGCTAGCCTGGGCTACATGAGAGCCTGTTTGAAAAGGGAAACAGAGAGAAGGATGGGAGACGAGCTGTTCGGCGAGTCAATGAGCAGTTTGTAGAGTTTTCACTAAAAATATTCCCAGCAGCTTTGAGCTCCCACTATCCTCTGGGCGCCCACTGGCCTGCCAGCAATTAGCTATGAAGTCTTCCCTTGGCATGGGGTGGCAATCGGGTCCAGGACCCTGTAGGTCCCAAAGTCCATCAACTGGACTCAGCCTCTTCTAAAACAGTATCTGCCTGCACATACAACCCAAGCACACTGTCCTGCAAAATTTAAATCACCTCCAAACTACAAAGGTAAATGCCATGTCAATGGTTACTTTAACATTTATGGAACAGTGACAAGAAAGGTTACACACACATGTAACATACATGTAACTTAAAAATATGTATTTGATCTACAGTTGTTGGTTGAATATGGGGACCATGGATGTGGATGGGTTGGCTGTACTCCAGGAGGAGGGGGCGGGACAAAAGAGAGGACCAGAGCCACACAGGAGGGCACCAAATCAGCTGCCGATGCTCCAGGCTTTGGGCTCCCGATGTAGAAAGAAAAGCAGAAGAAGCATGAGAAGAACATCTCCCCCTCAAAAGGAAGTAGCTCCACTCTAATGAGGGCACTGAAGAGTGACAGGGGCCAGGTTCACGGCATGTACGTTTTACTGCAATATTTTAAGGAAGTAATCAGACCTATGAAAATGAAGAAATTTATGCACTCACAAAAAAATGATCAAACCATGCACTGTGGTGTACACCTTTAATCCCGGCACTTAGGAAACAGCAGCAGGTGAGTATCTGTGAGTTCAGTGCCAGCCTGGTATAGAGAGTGTGTTCCAGGCTAGCTAGAGCTACACAGTGAGATACTGTTTCAAATATATATATAAAGACAGTATCTTATATAATGACTGGCTTTCTCCAGTTTCTCATTATCAATAACGAGGAATTTCTCTAATGAATATTATATGTACTAGAAACAACCCCGGCAAAATTGAAGTTTAAAAAGAAAAAAAGGGGGCTGGAAAGATGACTCCGTGGGTAAGAGCACTGGCTGCTCTTGCAGAGGACCCTGTTCAGTTCCCAGCACCCACACGGTGGATCGTGATCGGCTATAACTCCAGATCCAGGTGATCTGCACCCTCTTTGGCCTCCTCGGTCACCAGGCACAGATGTGATACATCAACATATATGCACGAAAACACCGAAACACGTAAGAAAGAAAGAAAGAAAGGAAAGAAAGAAAGAAAGAAAGAAAGAAAGAAAGAAAGAAAGAAAGAAAGAAAGAAAGAAAGCCGGGCAGTGGTGGCACAAGCCGTTAATTCCAGCACTTGGGAGGCAGAGGCAGGCAGATCTCTCTGAGTTCGAGGCCAGCCTGGTCTACAAAGTGAGTTCTAGGACAGGCTCCAAAGCTATACAGAGAAACCCTGTCTTGAAAAAACAAAACAAAAAAGATAGGTAAGTAGGTAGGAAGGAGGGAGGGAGGGAGGGAGGGAGGGAGCGAGCGAGCGAGGAGTTCAACAGAGGAAGCAGGGTGAGAAGAAGGGAAGAGCTGCCTGGTCACTGAAAAACTGGTGCTTTCCCTTAGCCAGCCAACTGTGGACGCCCAGACATTGTTTTAAAATGAATAGCCAACGGAAGGGGTGTGAGCAGATAGAAACCGTTTTTAAACAAAAGCCAATGGTCTGTAACCTCTAGTGAAAATGGGAAGTGGGGAGTCTCCTGACTATAAAGGAGAGCACACATTGGCAAAGCAGGCTGTAGGAAACAGTGGCTGGTATTTCACCTAAGGAACGCACACCAGTGCACTGTGAGTTGTGGGTTTCCTCTGGATCTGAACTATATGTTATCCCAAGGGACTAGAAATGACGTGTACACCTCCAAACGAGCGGCATCTCCTAACGAGCAGACATTCTGACGCTCTTGGGCTGGATGACCTTGAGTACAAGCCCAGCCAGGCACCCCATTTAACCTATGGCAGCTCCTCAAGATGCAGGATGAATGACTAAAGAAAGATTAACCTTGCCAGCAGGCCAGCCTTGCTGATCTGAGCTTCTAAAGACACAGAAAAGTCACAAAGTTGGCATGTCAGTCCCCCTCCCCCAGGATGGCAGAGCACTCCCGCTGCCTTTGAGTCTAATGGCTGAGGTGGGGAGCTGCCCCCCCCCCCCCATCATCTCTGCCCAGGTCCCACCCGAACCGCAGCCTCCGCCTGGGCTCCTGTCCATCCTCTCAGCCGAGGTCACGGAGCTTCGATGAAACACTCACCAGCTACTACCTTCAAGGCAAGCAATGCCCAGACCTCAGCCTTCGCTGCCAGACTGCTGGGTAAAGGCAGAGAAGAAAAAGATCCCCAGCTCTCGCCTTGTCCAGGGCCCAGGTGCCTGGGAAGGGTTTTTAAACTTTTTAAACTTTGCGTTCAATTACAATATGTATTATATTATATAGTATGCAATGTAAAAAGATTACTTAGATAATAACAACCATGGGAAGCATAACAGATGCTTAGATGTGAATGTGTGAGGAATCCTGCCTTAAGGCAAGTAGGGATTTTTGGATTAAAAAGCCTTTCTCTTTCAATGTTCTTTTTAAAAATTAATAATATAAATTACACTGCACATTCAAGAAATCCATCGCCTATCTGATGACTGCAGTAAATAATATATTGTCTATTTTAAAATAGACAAGAAATGGCTGGCAAGAGGGCTCAGCGGGCAAAGGAGCTTGCTGCCAAGCCCGACGCGAGCTCGAGGCCCAGGCCCCACGTGTGCAGGGAGAGAACTGACTGCTGCTATCTGTCCTCCGACCTCCACGTGTGCTGTGGCAGGTACACGTGTGCACACCACATGCGCATGTACAACACACACAGCAAACAAACAAGGAAATGTAAACTTTTTAAACACTGAGGGAAATTTTAAGTGTTCTTACATAAAAACATGGCAATTGTGATCTTGTATAGTATCTCATATAGTGAATAACTCCATTTCACCAGTCTATAACATATGTATGCTTTTTGTTTTGTTTTGTTTTTTTTTTTGGTTTTTCGAGACAGGGTTTCTCTGTGTAGCTTTGCGCCTTTCCTGGAACTCGCTTTGGAGACCAGGCTGGCCTCGAACTCACAGAGATCCGCCTGGCTCTGCCTCCCGAGTGCTGGGATTAAAGGTGTGCGCCACCACCGCCCGGCTTTTGTTTTGTTTTTTGAGACAGGGTTTCAGTGTGCAGCCATGGATGTCCCGGAACTCACTCGATATACCAGGCTGGACTCGAACTCATAGATCCTCCTACCTCTGCCTCCTGAGTGCTGGGATTAAAGGTGTGTGCCACCAACGCCTGGCAGCACATTTTATATATATATATATAAACACAATGTTGGAAGAGCACTTGTTCTTGCTGAGGACCCAGGTTCAAGTTCAGCACCTAGCCACATGGTGGCTCACAACCATCTGCAACTCCAGATCCAGGGGATCTGATGACCTCTTCTGACCACCTTGGGCATCAGGCACACATGTAGTGAACACATACTGGCAGGCAAAACATTCATACACATAAAATTAAAAATGTTTTTAAAAATCATATTGTAAGCGTGTATTAAAATAATTAAATAAATAAAAACTTGAAATGAAAGGGAAAAAAAAATCCTGCCGTTTAAGATCCCAAGAGGGGGCTGGAGAGATGGCTCAGAGGTTAAGAGCATTGACTGCTCTTCTAGAGGTCCTGAGTTCAATTCCCAGCAACGACATGGTGGCTCACAAGCATCTATAATGAGATCTGGTGCAGACAGAACACTGTACACGTAATAAATAAAATAAATCTTACAAAAAAAAAAAAGACCCCAAGAGGAAGGCAATATATGCAGGATTATACAATGTCAGCCACAATATGAAAGAGGAGAGAGAGCTTCTCAAATGCTTCGATGGAAGACGATTTTAAGAAAGTATTTCATCATGTACAGATAAACATAGTTCATCCACACCATTCCTAAATCTGGTGGCCCTCCAGCCACAGTGAGGCTGAGATCACTGAGCTGTCTTCCTCATCCCATCTCCAGCAGCAAGCACATTCCAGACACTCAGGAGAAACGCTGAATGATTCTAGCTGACGGCAGTCACCATGACTCAGTTTACAATATTCTTCCTTGAAGAGGCCTCTGGGAATTGCCTTAATGAGAAATTGAGAACTAGGCTTAATGATCTCATTTCAGAAATGAGCCCTCAGCGCTACATATATGTAGCTAATCAGGTTGAAACAATGCGCTCACCAGGCAGAGACCTTACCAGGTGCCAAAATAATGTCTGTCAGTTCCCACGAGAGAACCTAGCACCTGGAGCTCGTGGAATTCAAGTCGATGAATTCTAACTACTTCAGAATCACACACTTGCATATGTGAGAACATCAAGAAAGCATTGGGGGAAAGGGGACAGTGTGGTGGCACACACCTTTGATACCAGCACCCCGTAGGTAGACACAAGTGGATCTCTGGGAGTTCAAGACCAGCCTGGTCTACATAGTGAAATCCAGGCCGGGCAGGGCTGCAGAGCCAGAGCTATGTAGTGAGACCCTGTCTTGGCCGCTCGGCCCCACAGAAAAGCACCTGGCAGTCCATTTCTAGGAGGTGTGTTCCTAAGGAAAAGGAGGAGTTAGGGCCCCCAGGAGGTCAGCCCTGACACCCTGAGCTTGGCTGCTCTTGCTCAAGGACACACACACACACACACACACACACACACACACACACACACACGCCCCCCGCCCCTTCACCTCTCTCCCCACATTCTCTTCAAGGATGAAAGAGGAAACAGATGTGGCCCACCCTAACTACAATGGCTCACACTGTACCCTGTGAGTCAGTTACCTCTGTAGGTCTCAGAGACGGACGCAAGGACCACGTGACGGTCTAGCTGGCACCTTCCCAAAGGCAGCGCGCAGGGAATGGGATCAAGTTTGAAATTACCAGAATACTAACAGCAGTCTGTTGTGAGTTTCTGTCGGAAGAGTGGGGCTGAAAAGGACTACAGGCCCTAAAGCCGGCTCCTGGGTGTGCCACACGCAGTGGTGACAGGGAACACTACTCCAAAGGCAATCCAGTGGCTCTCAACAACCACCTCCTTCCCACTCACACAACATGCAGCAGAAAATGGATTTTTACTCGAACTTTAACAAGCAATGCAGGTGCAGTGGAGTACACTTGATTCCCCAGAACTCAAGAAAGAATCACTAGTTTGAGGTCTAGCCTAGGCTACATGGAAGCCACTGTCTCCAAAGGAGAGGACACTAGAAGTGTAGCTCAGTGGGGAGCACTTGCCCAGCATGTGTACACACACACACACACACACACACACACGCGCGCGCGCGCGCTCACATATATGTTATTTAATGAAGCTCTATGCACCTTCTGTCAGCCCCAAAGCTGTCGTATGGCCCCTTTTAAGCGGGTGGGAACTTTAAAGTGGGTTGATATTATGGTATAGATTCTGGCATTGCTAACATCACACTTCCGATTATGGTAGCAGCGCCTGAGCTCACGGCACTCCCTGGCAGGGCCGACTCACTGCCCTGCCTCACGGGCAGGGAGGGGGCTCTCGGCCCACTGCTGAATGCTCACTACCTGAATTCTGAAGGCATGCTGACAGAGGCCCTTGGGTCTGTTCCCTTCACAGACACACTGGGTGTGCTAGTGTCGGAAGGGGCGGGGGTGCCTGGGCACTGACAAACGGCAAAAGCTAACTAGAGAAGGGCTAGGACTCTCTTCTTCAAATATTTCTTTCCCAGGATGGAAACGAGATTTTAATCCCACCATATCTGAAACATAGCACCCGTTACCATGGTGCTAAGTAAGCTTTAAGATTTTGTGAAACTGGATCCTACTCTAAGTGGGTATTTCCTCAAAATTACGAAAGATCCAGCAGGGAGGAGTGGCCAGGGTAAGTGACAGGAGCATGGGCAGGGACCTGCAGGGCCTTGGGGGTGAGGGCCTGGGGTATAAGAGGCCCTTAGGCTTTGGTCCAGAGTCTCTTCATTTATAGGATGCCACTCAGTATGTCTTGTATTTTCAAACACAGAAATAAGTAAATCTCACAAAGTGCATATGGGACTGGAGAGACGGAGCCCTTGCTGATCTTGCAGAGACCTGGGTTCAGTTCCCAGCACCCACACTGGTTCACAACCATCCAAAACTCTCGATTCTGGAGATCAAACACTCTCTTGCCCACCAAGGGCACTGCACGCATGCACATGGTGTGCATACATACATGCAGGCAAAACACTCACATGCTTAAAACAAACTAAACCTAAAAACAAAACGAAAAGCATTTTGAAGTAAGTACAGCTGGGTATGGTGGCATATGCCTTTAATTCTAGCACTTGGCACAGGCAGGTGGGGACACTGTGAGGCCAGCCTGGTCTACACAGTGAGTGCCAGGCCAGCCCGAGCTATATAGCGAGACCCAAAAGTCTCCAAAACAGTAAGTACAAAAACCATTATTAAATCCCTTATCTCTGAACTGCTGAGACATGATCCTGAGATAAAAATAAAGCCCCAGGCAATTCACCAAGAGCACGTTCACTTAACACAATCTGGTAAGCTGAAGCCAAGCGATGGGGCCCAGGCAGGATAGCTCATTGGATAACGGTGCTCCCCACCAGGCCAGACAACCTGAGGTCAATTCCCAGAATCCATGTGGCAGAAGGAAGACAAGAGTCCCATCAACTGTCCTCTGACCTTCACACATGCACCTTGGCACACACGTGTGCCCAAACACAGACACACACAGTCAATAAATATGAAGCCGCGCTGCCAAACAAGGAGTGTGTCTGTCACCTCAGCAGTCAGGAGGTGGAATCGCAAGATCCAGATTTTCAGGTAGAGCTGGGCCACATGAGACTCTGCCTCCAAAAACCCCATATTAAATAAAATAAACCCACAACACGTTGCCATCACTCCAGAAACTATAACCAAGGCAAGCGAGGCCTGTGGGCGGAGTTTTTGTTGTTGCTGTTGTTTCTGGGTTTTTTTGGTTTTGTTTTGTTTTTTTAGACCCATAGCAATGAACTTTACAGCGGGGGTGACCGTTGTTCTGTGCCGGGCCTGCAAAGAAGAGGTTAAGCCACCTGATTCCATCCAACTACCTGCTGGGAGAATGATCTAGAAACGGGACCAGACATGATGTGCATGAAGCTGTCACAGATAAACGTCTTCCCAGCGGTGACAGCTGTGACATCAAGTGGTCCCTAAAAAAGGCACTGTCCTAAAGGCAGCTTTAGGACGACCGCTTCCATTAAATTCTCCTCGTCCTACAGGCAGGAAATCTGTTCCCACACTACATTAGAATGAACTGCTAGCTTTGAGACACAGCTCAGCGAACCCCTAGTCTCTCCCAGGGCCTTCCCTTGAAGCAGACCCCAACACAGGGTTCAAACGTGACAAGGCTGAGCAGCTCAACAGGAGCGATGTATATTCCATTTTTGTAGATTGTTTGCTGTTCGTTTTTCGAGACAGGGTTTCGCTGTGTAGCCCTGGCTGTCCTAGAGCTCATTCTGTAGATCAGGCTGGCCTCGAACTCAGAGATCTGCCTGCCTCTGCCTCCCGAGTGCAGTGATTCAGGCCACCATGGCCCAACTGTAGATTTTTTTTTAAAGGTTTATTTATTTATTGTGTATACAGTGTTCTGCCTGCACTGCCTCCACACCAGAAGAGGGCACCAGATCCCATTACAGATGGTTGTGAGCCACCACGTGGGAATTGAACTCAGGACCTCGAGAAGAGCAGCCAGTCCTCTTAACCTCTGAGCCATCTCTCCAGCCCTCCCCCGCTTTTTTTTTTTTTTTTTTTGGTTTTTCGAGACAGGGTTTCTCTGTGTAGCTTTGCGCCTTTCCTGGAACTCACTTGGTAGCCCAGGCTGGCCTTGAACTCACAGAGATCCGCCTGGCTCTGCCTCCCGAGTGCTGGGATTAAAGGCGCGCGTGTGCGCGCCGCCGCCGCCGCCACCGCCACCACCACCACCACCCGGCTTTTTAAGTTTAGTATCTGCAGTAGGGTAATCCCCTGCCCTGTGGGACTCTGATCACGACAACGGGTAACACTGTAAGGAAGGACCGTGACAGACCACTCTGCGGAGCTCTGTGGGCCTTGCTCTCCTGCGCAGCGGCCGGCGTCTTCTCTCCTGCGTCCCTCTCGCTGGACTCCTCGCTGACAGTAGAGTCTGCATCTGAGGGAGAAACTCTGCAGAGAGGAAGCAGAACGCAAACATCAGAGAGGAGAGGCCAGGAAGGCTTTTAAAACGTCGCGTTCACTGGGAGCAGGCTTCCACAGAAAACAATCCACATCCACACTCCAGGACCACACTATGGCCACACTCACCGTGTCCTGAGGACAGACTGGCATGGCTGACTAACCGGCTAAGCAGGGTGCATTTCAACCAACGCTAGAAAACTAAGTGCCGGAGGGAGGCAGTCCCCACAGCTGCTGGGGCCCCAGGCTGAGCCCCCGGCGCCTGGCCATCTCCTGACAGACAGTCTGGGTCTAACCCAAGCTGGCTGGAAAAGAATCTGGGCTCCAGAGCTGAAGATGTAGGTAGTGTTTGATAACCAGTCAGTATTTGAAAAGTCCTGGGTTCAATCCTTAGTCTCACAAAAAAACAAACAGAACAACTTACTCTTAAAAACAGCGGCCTGTGAAATGGCTCAGCACGTAAAGGGGTTTGCCAAAAGCCTGCCTGACGGCCTGACTCTGATCTCAACTCTCGGACCTACATGGTAGAAGAGACTGACTCCCAATTACTGTCCCTTGACCTCCACATGTACACATACACAGACACATGAAGGAAGAGAGGAAGGGAGGGAGGGAGGGAGGGAGGGAGGGAGGCGAGGGGGAAGGGGGGAAGAGAGGGAGGGAGGGAGGGATGGGGGGGATTTAAAAAGAACCACCTGGGCTTCTGGCCTGGTTTAGCATCAGCTGAACCCGTGAACCTGAAGAGGCTAGAGAAGTTCTGGGGTCACCCCAAATAACTCCAAACCTTTGAAACAATGACCCCTAATGAGATCTGATCCCATGAATGAACGAACATTAAGGGTAACACAGCACCAGGACGTACCAGGCTAGGGAACGCTCCAGGCTAGGGAACGGCCTTAACCAGTGAGCACTTGTCTCCATAGACTCTCCCTAGCTGCAACAGCAACATGGATTGCTAGTACATTCTGGGGCCCTTGAGGGACTGTCTCCACAGCCATCCCTCGGCATCTGTGGGCTCTGGGCGCTCTCAAGTCCCTTACAGGAAATGACTCAGTGTCTTCCGGTAATTACACCGTGCTCTTGCAAGCATCCCGACATTGCTCAGAGCCCCTCACACAGCTGCCACAAACGGCTGTGAGAATAACAACAAGAACGACTACGTACATTCACCATCAACACTATTTCCCCCTAAGCTTTGTGACCCGCAGTTGGCTGAATCCATGGAGGTGGGACTGAAAAGCAGATCGTGATAACTGAATCTACCTCAAAGACGGCTGTGATGAAGACGCCAGCTGTTGTTTACCGTGAGGCTACTGGGGAAAGCCATTCTCTGAAAACTTTTACTATCGCATTACAGCGTCTCTGCTGATATGCTGCATTCTAGGCGTGGGAAATAATTAAGCCAAGAGCATCTCTCTGCATAATTCATTTTCTTTCCTAAGGACCAGGCTCCAACATCCGTTAAATTCTTCAACTAGGCCAGATCCCCGAGGCAGAAGTGATGCCATGGGTTTGGATGCTGAATGTTGATATGGACACGGGCTTTTTCACTACCAGCAGCCAATCAGAAGTCAGGATTCTGAATCTCAAGGAGAGGCTGACAGTGGGTGGCCTCAGGGCCTAAGCTATGAACTAAAGTCAACTCACAAACCCTGACCTGGCTGTCTTCTTCAGGGTCGTTCCAGCTCTTCCCACAGGCGGAGGGCAGCGAGGGCCTCCCTGGCAGTTTGGAAAACAAATACACAATTCTCCACAAGCTTTGTTTTGGCACGAGGGACTGGACATGGACTGGGAATGGGCAAGGAGGGGGGGGTGGGTGAGAGCCTGTGATGTGCATGGGCAGCTTGGGAAAAACAGAGCCATCAGGAGGAACTGATGAAGGTCACTGCAGACCAAGCAAGAGGTCACAGCCAGCCACCAGCAGAGCCAGCCCAGGAACCCTGCTGACTGCGTGCGTGCAGTGGACCACGTACTTGAACACACTTTTAATTTCATTTTTCGACAGGTCCTTTCCCATTTATTTTATTTTTTGACGTCTATCTATCTATTTTGGGAGGTGGGCAATGTGGACCACACCACCCATGTGGAGGTCAGAGGACAACTTGTAGGAATCTGTTCTCTCCTCCCACTATGTGTTCCAGGGATCGAATACAGGTCATCATACTTGGCAGCAAGCACCTTGAGCTGCTGAGCCACCTCACTGGCCCCTGCTCCTCACTTTTCATAAATTCTTTCTTGTATTACCTTTACAAAGCCTAGGACGTTCACCTCAGAACACACACAGTTCTTTCTAGCTGGCTGATCAAATCTGGGCCAACCCAACACGAATAAGCATTCTAGGGGAAGAAGTCACACAGCCTCATCTGGTAGCCCAGCAGAAGGGACAGAGATCTCTTTGGGGTGCATGTGTGTAACTGGACAAGTCAATAGTCTCCCAGGCTGCAGGCTCAAGGCAACACTCATCACAGGCGCTTCTGATACCAGAGTCAGATCTGCAAACTGAAACACGCTCTGCAGCAGAGAAGAGTCTAGAAAGCCCGATACTAACCTCCCCCTGTGGCGGATGTTCTTGGAAGGGATCTTGGACTTTGGGCTGGGCACATCTCCATTCTCGGAGGGTGTGGTGTGGTCCTTCACAGGTCCTGGCAGTGGTGCGGGCTCATGGATAATCAGTATGTCGTCTTTATTGTGCTGACCCAGGTGCTGCTTAGCAAAATCGAAGCCTTTCACGCTGGGGATCTGCAGCTAAAACACACAAGAACAAGGTGGTTAACGTGAGGTCAGAAGAGCATGACCCCTGACCCGAGACGGCCAGCAAAGCCACCAACCCAATTCAACAAACATCTCTGCAACAGATCAGGTGCCAGGTTCTGTTTACACTTAGAAATTCGTCACAGATGCTTATGAAAGATTAAACAAGAATACAAGGATTAAATAGCAAGACCACAAGACAAAACCCATTCCAACAGATCGCCTGCTCCATTGTCCCAGACCTGTGAAGTGAGACATTCTTTATAGGGAAAGGGGCACTTCCTCCAGGCCTTGGAAACTGTAAAAGCTTCAAAGAGCTTGCTGTAGATCAAACTGTGAGATGAACAGAGACTACCCGAGGCCTAGAAGAGATCACATTAGCCGCACTAAAGCAGCAGGATGCAGTGGGGAGGTGGAGAGAGGCCAGGCTCCACATGTATCATTCCAAACGGCAGCTTTTAAGGTCGTCCTCTGGGTACTCAGACAGCCTCTATTTCTAAAGAATCTAAGGAGACCAAGCACAAGGACCCAGTGATGCCATGAACATGAAATCAGGACAACCTGTCCAGATCCCAGCAAAGAAAACAGGAAGAAAGGACAGCTCTGGAAAACAGTGGAAGGGAGAAGCCAGGCAGACAAAAGAAACCAAAGGAGAACAGGTAGTGGTCCGAAAGCCTGTCACCAACATGGAGGTGACATTAAGGGCATGTCCTGAAGGAGAAAAGTTTCCAGGAGATAAAACACAGGTTTCCCTTTCAACATGATGAGTGTGAAAGACAGAAGAAGCCTCAGAGGAGAGCAGCTCCGGGGGCTGGACACAGCGGACAACAGCTTAGGACATGTTCAGTCTGGCAGCCATCCGTCCGGTGACATGTGGGCGTAAACGCAGAGTCTCTGTTAGGAGAACATCTGCCAGGTCGGGACTGGGGAAAAGAAAAAGCAGCACAGAAGGAAACAGGAGTCTTCAGATAAACAGACCACTCTGAAAGTTCAGTGCACCAGAAACCAAAGGAATCAAGAATTTCTAGAAAGGAGTGGTCCGCAGCAGAGAAGTCTTCAGAAATAGCATGTACTACTGGTGGACACAGTGTTCTCTCTGGGGATACCAGTGCACTCAATACCACACCCACAATCAGACCCTGGGAGCTCACCTTCTCTAGCCTTCAGCTTCTGAGCCTATGGTGAGGGACGAAGGACATTCATGATACCGAGATGCAGAGGACCATGTCTGGTGATGTCATTTTAATGACATTACAAACTGTCTTAACAGTTTCCTTAAATCCAGTCTGCATATAAAAAGCAGCCCTAAGGGGCTGGAGAGATGGTTAAGAGCACTTGCTGCTCTTCCAGAGGTCCTGCCTGGGTTTGGTTCCCAGCACCCACATGATGGCTTACAACTGTCTGTTAATTCCAGTTAATTCTAGGGATCCAATGCCCTCTTCTGACTTCTGTGGGCACCAGAAACACATGTGGTATACATACATACATACATACATGCAAGCGAAGCACTTACACACACACACACACACACACACACACACACTTAGAAAAACAAGAAGCTGTCCGGAGGGGTCTGCTCATTAGGAATGCCGCTGGACTCTATCATGGAGAATAAGGAGCATTCTCACATCCTTTCACGAAACACGTTATGCATAGGAGCAAGAGCTGCTGTCATAATGCATTACTTTACACCTCAAAAGTGACGCTTGTTGGCTCAGGTTTGTGACCTAAAGTCTCTTAATACTCAACATCCAGATGGGTAAAGGGGAAGGCAGTCTGCAATAACGACTCTTGCCAGCAGAGGGAGACAAACGGTATCGTAAGGATAGTTTACAAAGAGTTGCTTGGAAACAAAAGGCAGACCAGCTGGCAGCCACGTTCTCTAATTAAACGAGCTTCCTTTACTAGGGCAGGCCGCTGTTCCATGCACCCCTGGATTCGGGAACACCACATGGGAAATGGCATACCCAAGCTGCCTTTCCCCCACTGGTCACTTGGACTCCTTGGGGATGGACAAACGTTTCCTAGAAGCAGAGGCTCCCCTCTCCCACACCCCTCTAACAGTTCTGTTGCCCTTACAGAAGAGAAGCCCTGCCCTTATGAACACAGCTTCCTGGAGTACTCCATATAGAGAACAGAAACCTCAAATAACAGCGACTCACAGTGCTTAGCAGACCCCTTTCAGCAAGGCACAACAAGCCTGGAGATGGCTTCCTCTTTCCCTATCTTAAAGGCATCTCCTGTGTGCGTGCATGCATGTGTGATGCATGCATGTGAGTGTGTGAGCATTTGTGGGTGCATATGTGTGGAGGCCAGAAATCAGACTACATATATATATGTATGTACCACACACATGCCTGGCGCCCATGGAGGTCAGAAGAGAGCATCAGATCCCTTAGAACTGAAATTACCGAACCCGGGTTCTCTACAAGAGCAACAAGTGTTCTTAACCATTAGGCCATCTCCCCAGCACTCCACCTTAAGACAGGGTCTCCCATGGTACATAGGGATCTCAGATTCAGCTACACTGCCTGGCCAGCAATCCCTAGAGATTGCCTGGACCCATCTCCCCAGTGCTGGGATTACAAGCACACACTACCAATGCCTGGCTTTGGAGATGAATGCTGGGGACCAAACTCAGACTCTCACACCCGTGCAGCAGGCACATGGTAGTGGGAACCAAGCTCTGGTCCTCTGCAAGAGCAGGCAGCCAGCTTCCCAGGCATTTCTTTAATGGAGAATTCCACACTGGGATGCTGTGAACTCACATTTTGCAGAGGAAATAGCAGGAACAGGGTTGTTTCTACTTAACACCATCTCTACCGTTTCTGGATGCCTCCCTCCGGCCAGAAATCATTGAGAACAGAGAAAAGATGGAGGCCATGGGACATCCTGCAGGTGCAGGCTCTGTGCTGGTCTGTCCAGATTAGAAGGGATGTGCTCAAAATCTACATGGCAACCCTGGACACATGAAACGCACCCTGGCCGCAAGGTCACCCTTCTCCACAATCCAAGAGCTTGTAAGTACCAAGTTCACAAAGTCTCAGCTTGGCTTTTGATTGTTATGACTTGAATCAAAAGTCTTGCTATATAGCCCAGGCTGGCCCCGAACTTTAATTTTCTTGCCTTATCTTCTACATGCCAGTATTAAAAATGTACACCACTCTGCTGGGCTGAGTCTGGGTCTTTTTTAAATTTATTTATGTGTATGAATGTTTGCCTCCATGTAAGTACATGTATCTGTGTGCATGCCTGGTATCTGTGACTCCAGAACAGGGTATTGGAGCCTCTGGAAGTAGTTACAGGGGATTTTGAGGCACAGAGTGGGTGCTAGGACTCTTGACTGCTGAACCATCTCCCCAATCCTAGAGCCTGGGTCTTTATTTTTGCATCAAATGACAAAGGAGTAAAAATTTTCATATTCACTTCTAAAAAGATCAAAATTCCAACATAAAATCAAAGAAGGAAATAATAGAACCAAGACAGCATCTTTATTATTCAGTCCTGCAGGAAAATCTCATTAGCTTCTTTCAGTCCCTGGATACCAAGGCTGTGTTCCAGTCCCTTGACCCCCTGCTCAATGAGTCTCCCCAGGAGCATCCTCTGCTCATTCATCTGTTGTCCCTCTGTACTTATTAGACTAGCTGCAGAGTAACATACTTTAACTTAAGCATAAATAATGTGTTAAGTAAGGGGCTGGAGAGATGGCTCAGAGGTTAAGAGCACTGGCTGCTCTTGAAGACAACTTGGGTTTAATTCCCAGCATCCACAAGGGGACTCACAACTGTTTGTAACACCAACCCCAGGGGCTCTAACCCCCTCTTCTGGCTTCCAAGGGCACCTCCATGCATGTGGTACACATGCATGTACTCAGGCGTGCGCGCACACGCACACACACACACACACACACACACACACATACATAAAATAAATAAACATCTTTTTAAAAATAACATACTTAACAGCAATCTGCAATACATCCTTCATAAGGCCCACACTTGCTAGCTCAATATTTTTTCCTCATTTGTTTTAAGTTACCACAATGACTCAGCTGAGTTCTTTGCTTGTTTTTCAAGACAGAGTTTCTCTGTGTAGTCCTGGCTGTCCTGAAACTCAACTCTGTAGCCCAGGCTGGCCTCAAACTCACAGAGATCTACCTGCCTCTGCCTCCCAAGTGCTGGGATTAAAGGTGTGCGCCACCGCTGCCCAGCTTCTGCTGAGCTCTTAAAGGCAAAGCATCTATTGTACATATGGGTAGAGGAAAAATTAGGCAACCCCTGAACCTAAAACAACAACAACAAAATTTGTATTATTAGGATAGGTTCCTATATCTATCAGACTTAGATATACTATTCTTTTTTTTTTTTTTGGTTTTTCGAGACAGGGTTTCTCTGTGTAGCTTTGCGCCTTTCCTAGAACTCACTTTGTAGACCAGGCTGGCCTCGAACTCACAGAGATCCACCTGGCTCTGCCTCCCGAGTGCTGGGATTAAAGGCGTGCGCCACCACCGCCCGGTTTTAGATATACTATTCTAACTTAAGGAAATATGTAATTATTTGAAATTACACCTTGAAATTACAAATCTACCCATTCATGTAATTCTCAAGCATCTATCTATCAAGTCTTTTTAAGATGGCTAGAAAACTGACAATCTGACACCAATTACTTCCAGATAATGAGGAAAATCCCCAAATGAGCAATTTGCAATCTTATACCTATGTTCTACTCCAAACTCCATAGTCTTTTAGCTTCCTGAACGAAGTGCCTCTGAGTGAAAAAGGAACAGAAACAGTGGTCATCTGACCTGTGAGGCCTTCAGCTAACAAACAGTGCTCAGCTCCCTGTCGTGTGTGTCCTAGGAGAAAAGCACGTGCCTCAAAGAACTGGGTACCGACCGCGTTTACCCATTACAGCGTTTGCTGAAGGAGCGACAGACTGTCTCGCTAAGCAAAGGCCTCTGAAAGAACTGACGTCAGAACACAAAAGCACTGGCC